CTTTATCCAGCTCTAAACAGCTCTAAACAGCCAGTGGCTTATAGATAACAGACTGAGGAGAATTTGGGACTATAACCTAACATTCTGTACGAAATTTGTGACTTGCAGTGGACATATAAAGATGTCTATTATCCAATTAAAAGCCATTTTTTATCTTGACTGAACTTCACCTAAACAAATATCATAGTTATTGCTTATATATTCTCATACATGCTTTTGTAAATTGTGCTGTGTTTCAAACTTGATTTTGATAAAAGAATAGACATCTGAAAAAGTCTGTTAAGTTATACAGTGGTTTTTCCCCTACCGTCAAAGAGAAAATTTATACCTCATTAGCACTTGTTTATAATATCTACATTATCTGTTGTATGTTACTTAAAGTTGGTAGAGTGTTAGGTCCTAATATGTCGATGTACAATGTAAATATAAAGGCCTAATGTTAGACATTGAAACTGGCCAGAGCCTTTGGGATAACATCATGTCCGAGGGTTTAGGTAAGGGTTTACAGAGTAGAGAATAATGGGCAAAAAATATAAAGAATAGAGAAAAACGAACCAAAAAAATAAAGAATAGAGAAAAATGAGGTCCTAAAATATAATGAATAGAGAAAAATTGGCAAAAAGTATAAAAATTAAAGAATACAGAAATGAAGGACCCCCCATCTCATATCCTGATTTGGAATATTTTGTAATACCACATGTAATTCTTCTGACCAATATTTTCCATTGCATAGTGAAAAACAAATTTTCCATTCGGGAAAAAATATATTACAAATGCTTTTCCTTTGGAATGTAATATTTTGGAATATTTGTTCTAATCTAATCTAATCCGATTATGATAAGAGAATATGTGGAATAATTATACCCCCGCTTTAAAAAAGTGGGGGTATACTGTTTTACCTCCGTCCGTCCATCTGTCCATCTGTCCGTCCATCCATCCATCCATCTGTCAGTCCGTCGATCCGTCCCATGAGTATTTTTCGTCACATCTTTCTCAGGAACTACATAATAAGGATTTCTGAAATTTGGTTTCAGGGTTTATATAAGTCAGCTAAACAGTGTGATGAGTTTTCAGATTCATCACTCAACAACTTCCTGTTTACCGAACACTTACATATTTTTACACTATTAAAATTATCCAGTTGCGGCGGGGGTATCATCAGTGAGCAGTAGCTCGCAGTTTCACTTGTTTTTTTTGTGGTAACCAATTTCCGTGCATTGAGGGAGTATTGTACTTTCATGATCTGATTTCTTGGTTTTGAAAAAATCTGCATACATGCTATTTAAACATTAAAATCATTGTTCACCTAGGCTGTACCCATAAAGAACACAGAAAATGGTATCCCATGAATAAAAATTACCCCACAGTACAACTGTTATATTTTTTCTAAGAGAACAAAATGCAAAAGAGAAACTTTAATAACATGAAATGTGATCATTTTATATATATGTAGATTTATTTTTGTATGAAAAGAATCATGCTTTTTTCTTGCAGAAGTAATAGAAATTCCAGAAAGAGTTCTAAGATGGAGGCGAGGAATCCATGCTGCCATTCTTTCAAGCCTACCAAGCAATCGAGGTATTTTATCAGATACACATCTTATAGCTTCCTGCAAAACTGCACAAGGAAGAAGTCAAAGTTTTCTGCATATGCCTAGACATTCCTCCATATGTACTATTCCAGGATTCTTGCAGGATTCAGATGACGATGAAGAGGAAATTCAGCAGAAAGTTTTGAGAAGACGTAGGTCATTGGCCTCTATTGGCAGTGCTGGACGAATTACCATTGAAAAAGCTGATCAACTGGAAAGGAGAGAAAGTATCAAATGTATAACAGCACCTATCCATATTAAGAGAAAATTCAAGTAGGTACTAGTATAAACTCTTATAAAGTTCTGATATCTAAATGAATTAACCAATAGTCAAAGAATAACTAATCCAAGAGTTCAAATATAGAAAAATATGCCACAAGTGACCGAACAACAAAGTAGTTCACGAATGTGCGTAGCGCATGAGTTAATTATCAATGTTGTTTGGTCACAAGTTGAATATTTTTCGATATTTGAATTATTGGATTAGTTATTCTTTTTATTACATTGACCATGGACTTGTATTAATTGACATAAAGTAGAAATGGCAGGAACTATATTTTTTTCTATGGGTTGTCAATTAGTTTTGATGCAATATCATCCACAACGTCTTGACAACACCCATTGTTGCATGATATCAAAGGAGTGACATTATCGCAATTATTTCACATGTGAAATTATCGGTTTTTATTTCACTGTGAAATCATGGTAATTCATTGCAACCAATGTAATAACATAGAATAGCAATGTCACAGCCAAAATGATCAGCCATTCAAGATACTAAAAATGCCAACATGACCAAACCATTAATTGACTCCTTAGGAGGTATTGTCCTTAAATGGTGATTTTTATCCATTTATTTGTTTTGGACAAAATCTCTAGTAAATAGAAAAAGACTCAATATTTTTAAATAAGAAGATGTGAGTTTAAGACTAGAAGAACAATTAGTCTTATATTTATAGACATAAAACCAATGACCAAACCATTCATATTTGGCAAGAAGAGAACCTAAATCTAAATGTTTAGAACAGTTTTGAGTTATTTCCCCTGTGTAACAATAATTTAACTCTTATTTGAATATTGATTTATCATCAATTTTAATATTTTTAGTGTGTTTACATAAGGTTTACACATTATGCACATAAACTAATATGCTTTGGAGGTCATTAGAGATAAAAACCAGGAAGTTCTCTCACCTGTCAAATAGATAATCTGAGGACAATCTAAGTACTCAGAGCTTCCAAAGTAAATAATCAAAACCAATATATGGCCTCATTGGTTACCTTAAAACAATGTATTGACACTGTTGACATTTCAAACTATATTGTTAATCAGGGTTATAAATTTCATTTTTCTGGATATTGTATTCGGGGATGAACCTATTTCATATATGTTAGTGGTGTTAAAGTTTTAGAAGATTTATCATTTTCACATCCACTTATCCCAAAATTGGCAAAAATTTATGTTCCTACAGATTTTAAAGCTATATAATATGTGATGTTATGTCTCTGATTTTTTACAATATTATTGGGTGAATAGCCCATAGATTTCTGGTACAGGGACAATAATGAGAGAAAAATATAGTCTTTCTGAGCTGAAGATGACCAATTTCTTGGCATCCCTAATTATCATTAGTCTTTCTTTGTCTGTTATCCTTCCTCATTGTAAACATTTTTCATAAATCTCTACTTAAAACAATGAACCAATTTCAACCAAATTTGAGTTGAATGATCTTTATGGTATCTAGTATATGTTTGTGTTTTTTATAGTTGCTGCCAATCAACAAATATGACCAGCATTTAAATGATGATTTTAATGATTTTTTTTTTAAACAATTATCTTGAAAGCTATGATAGAAACTTAAGAAAAACAGTAGTTGGGAACAAAAATCAACAAGCCAAAATCTACAAAAGAGTCAACATAACCAAATTATCAATCAGATTCTTATTAGAGTTATAGCCCTTGAATGACAATTTTAACCATTTATGGCATTTTTGGCTTAGGATTTTTCTGGAAAAACCTTAATAAAAATAGTAAAATTACAAACAGCAAATATGACCAGCAAAATAATTTTACAAATAAGCCAACATAAACCAAATTATCAATTGACTCTCAAAAGAGTTTTAACCTTTAACAATTTAATTTTTTGGGCTATTAGCTTGGTAGAAAGAAACTGTAAACATCAAATAAGATCTGCATACAAACAAATAAAGGGAATTGTCTATTGACTCCTTGTAGGAAGTATGCCCTTAAATGACATAAGGTTTTTTTCCCAAATCTTGTATGTTTGGCAATTATCTTGAAAACATTAATAGATAAAGTTAAATTTTCAACAGCAAAAATCAGCACACTTAGATCTCCAAATAGACAAATTAGGCCGTTAGTTTTCTCAATTGAATTGTTTCATATTTTTCATGTCGGGGCCGTTTATAGCCGACCATACGGTATGGATTTTTCTCATTGTTGAAGGCCGTAGGTTGCCTATAATTGCTTACATCAACTTCATTTGAACTTTGGTGGATAGTTGTCTCATTGGCAATCATACCACATCTCCTTTTTTTTTTTATAAAAATCACTGATTGCAATAAAAGTGAAAATTAATTTTAATACTGTGGATTCATTATTATTCATGGGATACCAATTATTGTTGATTTTGTGTGTATAAGGAAAACACGAATTTAAATGTTCAACTAAGTATGAAGTCTGAAGGCTTGCATACAAATTTTGAAAAACCACAAAATCAAATATCCACAAGAACACAATTTTTCTCAATCCATGAAAATGGATACCTGCAAAAATAAATGAATCTTCAGTGTAGACTTTTTTGCCAGGTGCTATATTTTGGCTGTGAAGAGCCCCTTGTTTTTAAAACTAGTCTCTTGTATGGTTATTTTAATGATTAATGATGGTGGAGTTATGTTTTTGTAGTATTTACAAATAAAAGGTTTTATTATGGATAATTAATTCTCTTGATATTAATTTCAATTTTCTCATAATACAAAAGGTAAGTATATAATTGAATTGCAGATAAAAGACTGTCTTAAGTCTTAAAGGTTGATTGTTTCATATGGCAAGATAGTAGTTTATCAGTAGAAATGTACTATAAATCACACTTATAAATGCTGATCATGCTTAATCGCCATGTGAAAATTTATAATGATCTCAAAGCATACCTTGGTTGTATGGTCTCTTACATAATGAATGATTTTTTATTGATTGTAACATTTGATTTCAAATATCTATAAGCAGTTGACACTGATTTATGAGGACTTTTTGTATTGTGTCTGCAGACGCTTGACATGTTACTTTCAAAAACTTTCAATTGATGGTTTCCTATGAAGTTTTTTGCATGGATCATAAGGGGCTAGGGTATCAGCCATTTGAAATCTGATAAACGTTCAGACATTCAAGTATGAATTTTGAAGGGAACTTACATGGAGACTTTGGATTTGAAAGACAATCATATGAAAGAAGCGAAGATGAATATCACAACAGAAATTTGAATAATTATACTGGTCATCAAGAAGAGTTTTATGATGCACCTTATGAGACCGATTCATCTTATTTTGATGATGGAAATCATAGAAACTCATACAGGAATTTTAATCAAGGAAATGACAGTCTAAATGAAAGGGCCTCTAGATATGATATGGAACAGAATTATTCAGAAAATTTAATTCGATCAACTAATGCAAGTTCTGAATATGATCACAGACATCATAAACCTAACGATTTCCAATGTAAACAAAGAAATGAAACCAGAGAGAACAGACATTCGGCTCAGTATCCCAAATATTCTGAATCCATGTTGGATAGAGATTACATAAACCACACAGGTCAAAGAAACAATTATACATCTGATCAGAGCAGAGTATCAGAGCACCCCAGTCACATCAGTAGGAATAGTAGAAGCCTAAATGAAGAGATTTATGAATCTGTAGAAGATGAACCAGACTATGAAGAAACTCTTGTACAAAAAATCTCACCCAGGAATTACCTGATGGATAATTCTAATGAAAGAAAAAAGGGTTTTAGACTTGGAATTGAAAATAATGCCTTTGAAAGCCATGAAGTTCAAAGTGATTATGAATTGGACAGTCCTGATGGCTCAGATAATCTTGTGCAAATGAGACATCCAGATAAGGGAGAAAACTCCAGTGTTATCCTGGATGATGGAAGAAAGACATATGTCTTTAGAAAAAAGGCTATTCCTATAAATGACAGACGTTCAAGGACAGCATCACACCGTAGATCAACAGTCAAAAGAAAATCTGCTATACCAGAAGGATATGTTCCTAGTCATAGAGAAAATGTAGTAACACTGAAAGAAAAAAAACAAATGTTAGAAGAACAAGACACTATACATGGAGTTGTAAATATCTTTAGGTTTGTTCATATATATTGCTGTTTAGAAAAGAAGCATACTATTTTTCACTGAACTAGTACACAATTTTATTTAGGGGCCAGCTGAGGACCACCTCCGGGTGCGGGATTTTCTCACTGCGTTGAAGACCCATTGGTGGCCTTCAGCTCTTGTCTGCTCTTTGGTGGGTTGTTGTCTCTTTGACATATTCCCCATTTCCATTCTCAATTTTATTACAAATAGTCAGCCTGATAAAGACCTTTTAACAAATTTTGAAGCAAATATTGGTGTTTGTTGACCTGCCTTTCTATTGTTTTCTCCTTACTTATTTAAGACATGTATGCATATTGTACTTCGCTTCGTTTATTACAGTACTGTAAATTCAGACGTTTTTGCAATACTTTCATTACTGTGAATAATGAGAGGTTTCTCAAAAATAAAATTGTGCATTATAATTTTAATAGCATTATTTGTATGTATCATTTCCTGAAATTGTATTAATTATTCATGTACTCAATCACAAAAATAAATGCACACATAAATTTCTGAATTTACATTTATTTTTTTAAAGAATTTTGACTAAATATAGTTTTTATGTTTTGACCACTCATTATAATTTCTGTTGCCTTCGTCTATATTTTTGTATATATTTTTGTGATTGTAGAGAGAAAATTCTCAAAGAGCCTGAACTTATTGAGAAAGGATTTGCTGGATGGAGACACAGACAGACTCAGGTTATAGAGCTATTCCATATGAATGTATTTTGGGAAGTTAGAACATTTGTTTTTCTCAGACCTCCAACCAATAAACAATGCTGTTTGTCTTTTATAGAATAATGTCTTCATACCCTTACATAATAAGAATTGAAGTGAGTTTCCTGCTCCACTAGAGGTTAAACTAAATGAATAATTGTCAGAAACTTAACATTAAATAATTTGTGCAAGTAATACAATATGTGTCATATAAACATAATCATGTTTTTTTATATTTAGAATTTTTCATTAAAATACTAGGTTTGTTGTTAGATTTTTCTTATTTGGTGTCCTCTCAACAATACTGGGGAGGCTAAAACAAAAGACTATACATAAAAGAAGAGATAAATGAATGCTGTATAACTTATATGAGAGGAAACTTTTCTATCTTTGTTGAGTTATCTCCCTTTCCATTAATTGGTTTACATTTTGCATACTGTAGATCCCAGAAAAAATAACACAAAAAAAACACATGTAAACCAGTAGTCAGCTTTATTATGTTTTAGTTTGTATCTACTAAAGACTAACTTTTCTCTTTTTTTTAGAGATGGAATTCCTTCACACAACAAGTCAAAAATATTGCAAAAATATTTGAGCCTTGGGCAGGTTCTTTTAAAACTGTAGAAGGTAGCTATATGATTTAAGCATTAAAAGTATGAATATTTGATGTTTATACCTACAATTCAACAGAAAAATCAGGTATTTCGCCATTGACATCACCTCACACTTCATAATCTATTACCTATAAATTTTATGCCCCCTCATTAAGTTGTCATGGTAAAAATTAGATTATTTAAATGCCCAAAAAGGCACAAGCCAGGGCTGACTGTGCCAGGGCTGTATAGCCAGTCAAGGTCGTTAAAAACTTCCATCATCAAGTTGTCATGGATAATAGTGTTGTCTATGTCTGTCTTTTGAAATCAAACAGTTGTCAGGACTTTTTTCTGTTATTCCTAAAATTGATCTGAATTTTGGTACATTAGAGTATAATGATGGCAAACAGGTAGAAAGTTTGTGTTTCCTTCCAGTTGACCAACTTTTTCTGATAAGGGTTCTGCCTTGGGCATTCATAGAGTACCAACAAAACTAGTAGTTTTTTATACGACCGATCGCAAAAAAATTTTGTGGTCGTATATTGGTATGACGTTGGTTGTCGTCGTCCGGCATTGTCGTCGTCCGGCATTGTGGTCGTCGTCCGAAGACACATTGGTTTTCGCACACTAACTTTAGTTTAAGTGAATGGATCTCTATGAAATTTTACCATAAGGTTCAGTACCACAAAAGGAAGGTTGGGATTGATTTTAAGGGTTATGGTACCAACAGTTAAGGAATTAGGGGCCAAAAATAAGCATTTTTGTAACTTCCAGACATAACTTGTGTGTTAGTGTATGGATTTCTCTGACATTGTACCACAAGGTTCCATAACACAAAGGGAATGCTGGGATTGATTTTGGGGGTAATTGCCTCATAATTTTAGGAATTAGGGGCAAAAAAAGGGGCAAAAAACAATCATTTTTCTAGTTTCATAACAATAACTTGTGTGTAAGTGTATGGATCTTTTTGAAATTGTACTACAAGGTTCCATATCACAAAATGAAAGCTGGAATTGAGTTTGGGGGTAATTGCCCAAAATGTTTAGGAATAATGGGCCAAAAATAAGCATTTTTCTAGTTTTCCGACAATAACTTGTGTTAAATTGTATGGATCTCTCTGAAATTGTACTGCAAGGTACCATACCACAAAGGGAAGGCTGGCATTGATTTTGGGGGTAATTGCCTCAAAATTTTAGGAATTAGGGGCCAAAAAGTGGCAAAAAACAAGCATTTTTCTAGTTTCAGGACAATAACTTGTGTGTAAGTGTATGGATCTTTATGAAATTGTACTACAAGGTTCCATATCACAAAGGGAAAGCTGGGTTTGAGTTTGGGGGTAATTGCCCTAATTGTTTAGGAATTTGGGGCCAAAAAGGGGCCTAAAAACAAGCATTTTTCTAGTTTCCAGACAATAACTTGTGTTCAAGTGTATGGATCTCTCTGAAATTGTACTGCAAGGTACCATACCACAAAGGGAAGGCTGGGATTAAGTTTGGGGGTGATGAATCATAAGGGGGTCCAAAAAATTTGGGGGAGGGATTTTATTCCTTTTTTTCCTTTTTTTTTCTTTAAAATTTTCCATTTTAAATTGGTTATTTCTGATTTATATATAAAAGCAAATAATAATGATATGGTTTGAATAGGTAAATTAAAAATTTTTAAGTTCTTAGACCACATTCATTCTGTGTCAGAAATCTATGCTGTGTCAAATATTTAATCACAATCCAAATTCAGTGCTGTATCAAGCTTGAATGTTGTGCCCCAACTGTTCAGGGTTCGTCCTCTGTGGTCGTATTAAGCTGCACCCAGCGGAGCATTTTATTATGACTTGACTAGAGGTAGAGTTATTTGTGGCAAAATGTTATACTCCTCTTAACAGCTAGACATTTCATAGTAAACCACTTCCTGAGGAGACCCATAAAGTGATATTATCCCTCTCCTACATGTTTAAGTAGAGATAATGGAATTTACTTACTTCAATATTGCAATATAAGTTTACTTTTTTGTTCAGAAATAAAAGCCATTGAATTTCAAACAAAACATTTTGTGTTTCTAATGGAAAAATGATAAATGAATAAAATTGTATAATTTTATTTTGGTATTTTTTTATTATTTTTCCAATAGCTTTACTTATTTGATGAGTAGAATTGATTTAAGTTTGTTTTAAACCTTTTAGAACCAATTTTGATGCTAACATATGTATATTTTCCAGGTAGATTTGGGACTGCTATAATGAACTATTTCCGTTTCATCAGATGGTTGATGTTCATGAATCTCTACACGATGATTATTATGATGTGTGTGACACTGGTTCCCCACTTTATCCTAAAGGATTCACCTTTTAACAACACCATTAGTAATAAAACAATACAATGTACTGAAGAGTATGGTCAACATATTGATAATATCACTGATAATGAGAATATTGGAAATCAGATATTTGATTTTATACAAGGAACTGTAAGTAATTCAGTATTCAATATTTGTATCTCATTTACATAGTAGTTACCACGGACACCAAAAACCAAAAAAATCGACGAAAATGAAGGTCAGTACATATAACTGTATCCTTTTAAATTTCTCCTATTTACAAACACCATCAAAGGTAAAGCTATTTCTGTGGAACCAATGTATCCAAACAAATAAAGTTAACCTGAATATTAAACTTTACTGTGAAAATAGAATTTTTTTATGCTCCTGCCAAAGGGTGTGAGGTCTATTGCGTTGTACCAATGGTAATGATATCTATAAAAATGAAGAAAAAAAAATTATTTGTGAGTTTCATTATTCTTACTTAAAAAAACATATGGGCTATTTCTTTCAGTTGCATATAACAGAGTTGCATGATTTATTATAGAATAAACCAAGAAATATTTGTATGAATACAGAGTTTCAAAAACTACTATCTGATACGTTGCATTATTTTTTTTTAAATAAAATAGTCCAACAATTGAAATCTCATCTACTTTAACAAAAAAGGAAAGAAAATACCCAGGGAGCAGTCTCAACCATAAATTTAAGAAAAACAGACAACAGCATGAGAAAAAAAAAATAAATAGAAAAAAAGTCCACAGACCACTACACAGAAAACTTATGATTTAGCAATACAATTTTATTCTATATGTCAGTCTTGTAATCTAACTTTTCATGCTGCTAATATAAATTTTTGTATATATTGCAGGGATGGATGGAGCAGACAGTCTTGTTTTATGGTGCTTATCGAAACAAGACAATGTTAGAGAATGAAACAACATATAATATGAGTTTGGCCTACTTGTTAGCCACTGGAGGATCTTTCTTAATCAGCTTCTTCCTTATTGTTAGAAAGTAAGGACTGCTTTTTTTCTTTGATATTTCTTTGAATTATCTCCCTTTAGTATTTGTAGCCAGGTAAATATTAAAAATTGAACCCAGTATTGTTCAATCTCTGTAGCACATGTTTGTCTTTCAGGCAATTTGAGGTTAATTCATATAAGAGTTTTATTATTTGTTAAATATTTATAGAATACCTTTGACATTCTCAGCCTGGTCTCCTTATCCAGTAATAAAAAAAAATGATTTCATGATAAGAGAAGATTCTTTGACATAAAAATTAGTTTATGTAGTATAATTGCTAATGGTTCAACTATCAATAGATCAAAAAACAACATCTGAACAATTACAGGTCACCTTACTGCCTTCAACAATGAGAAAAACCCATACTGTTCCATAAGTTATAAAGGCTCTTATGAAAAAATGTTAAACAATTCCAAGGAGAAAACCAACAAGCTGATTTATACTAAAACAATGATTAAAAACAAATATGACAGAAAGCAACCAACACCAACCACATCACTTAACATGAAATATATCAACTACAAAAATAAATCTTGTTAAACCAGAAATGTGAACTGATATATTTTGGTAGTACAGGGAAAGGTATAAAACGAGGAGTTATGAACAAAGACAGCACAGTAAACCAGTACACAAACAAAGTTTTCTGTGGAGGATGGGATTTCTGTATAAATGTTGATAAAGCTGCTAAAAGGAGACATCGAAATTTTTTTCAAGAATTGCAGGTATTGTAACAAAAAGTTAGATAGTAAAATTAAAAAGAACATGAACTTCAATTTACTGGTACTAAATTGTTAGTGTGTACATAACATGACAATGTGAACTCTGAATTTGTTAGTGTGTACCACATGACAATGTACACTCTGAAATTGTAAGTGTGTACTACATGGCAATGTTAACTCTGAAATTGTTAGTATGTACTACATGACAATGTATTTAAACTCTGAAATTGTTAGTGTGTACCACTATACAATTATGGCCCGCTGAGGAGGTGAATATCCAAAATTGTCAACCCGAGTAAGGGTTATTTCATGAGGGCTTTAGCCTCAGGGGAATAATCCTTACTTGGGTTGTTAATTTTGGATATTCACTGACTCAATGGGCCATAACTGTTTTATTATACCGAACAAACAATTAAAAGTAAAATATTGTAACAGATTCAGATTGTCAAAACACTTACCTTAGAAAACTATTTTGTGTCTATTAACATTTCTATTATGTACAACAAATTTAGACTCTTTCTGTAAAATATTGATGGCCCTAAAAAAAGCTGTTTACAAGAGATATTGTCGTCACCAGATGAATTTCCAAGCCTTGTTTGAACTTGCTTCTTTGTCACTTGATGGGCTTCTAACATGGCCGTTACCATATTTGTTTTTATTTATCTGACATTAAGTGACGTCATACTTTAAAGGGAGTTAACTCGTGATCATTGAGGTACGACAAGGGTTATTCACTGGGGAATAATAGGGTTGTTCGATGGAGGCTTCGATTTGTCGGGGTTATTCACCAGGGAATAATAGGGTTGTTCGATGGAGGCTTCAATTTGTTGGGGTTATTCACCGCTTCTGCTAATTTTTGGAAAACCATCGAAATTAAACTATGACACGTGATTCCACATTAGCCAATCAAATAATTACTATATAATGTAAGGTATAATAAATGACAATATAAACTCTGAAATTGTTAGTGTGTGCCACATGACAATGTAAACTGAAATTGTTAGTGTGTACCACATGACAATGTTCACTTACATATTAAGGCAATTTTAAAAGTTTCACTGCAATGAAAGATAAAGTTAAATGTTATATTTTTCATTTTAGGGAGATTTGGAAACACAGAGATTAATTTGGAGAAAACAGAGTCTTACCCTTAAAGATAAGATTAAACTTTATATTATCAGAATGGCTGTTAATATATTTGTTGTAGCTGCCTTGAGTGGATCTTTGTACCTTATTTTCTTCACAAATGAAAAGATGTTAGAGGTAATAATTGTTTAAAAGTAATGTAATGTAATTTGTTTTCCTTTTCAGATTTATGCCTATATTCTGTAGCTCATTTCAGACTCTTAAACATTATATCTTGATACAAGCTACTTCTTTTCAGGGAGGTCAGTACTAGTTCACTGCAGTGCAGAATAATTACATCACATATAGATATAAGACATGTATGTTCCATAAGAATCCAGAGGCATTCCAAAATTATGTTTTATTTATGAATAAAATGCAACATTCATGACTGCATGTGCTTCCATTGATATCAATGCATTGGAAAACACATGAAAAACTTGGTATTATTTGTAATTTTATGGTTGTAGCATATAAATGTAATGATAAGAACTGTATGCTTCTTTTTGTAATTTTATATGTTGTAAAAGCATTGACCACCCTTACAGAAATGAAAAGTTTGCTGCAATATTGCAACAATATAGCGGCAATATTGCAGCAAACAAATTTGTTTGCAAGAAGTGTTTGCAAGAAAGTTGCAGGTTGTTGCAGCTACCTGCAACATTCTCGCAATGTTACTGCAACAAAATTTGTTTGCAAGAAAATTGCAGCAAGTTTGCTGCAATGTTGCAAGAAAGAATTTGTTTGCTAGAAAGTTGCAGGAACCTTTTCTTTTATTATTTAAGGAATTACTTTTTGCAACAACTTTGCAAGAAAAGTTTCTTTAATAATGTCAGACAATCAGATAGTTTGCACCAATATTTCAAGCATTTTAAAATATTACATATGATTATTTGTTTTAAGATTTAAGGTTCAAATAATACTCACAACATATTGTTCTTTGAACATTTGGTTATGGATACTTCTAACTATCTAAATTTGTTGTCGTATGTCATACTTTATTTTACTCAGAAATATCTGGATATTTGAATAATTTATTTTAAATAAATCTTCAAATAACAATGCTTATATTTTTAGAATTCCTAAACTGTACATCACATTTATATGATATTTTGTAAGGAAAGAATTTCAAGAATACTTTGGTATTTATTTCAACAAGTTTAATCTAAATAATTGAGTCATAATAATTTTTGTTCTACATGTATTATTATGCCTTTTTGTCACTTTTTTGTGACATTTTTCTATGAACAATATTTTTAATTCTAATATTTTCCATCAAATGAATTTAGCCTCACCTGCAGGTTGCATTTTGTTTAATTTCTAGTATCATTATTTTAAAACTATGTATACACAAATTATCTTTCTTATCTCAATTAGTAATATGAGCTGGTGATAGAAATGTAATGTGCCATCTGGTTTTCATTTATCTCTGTGTAGTGGTAAAGACAGGAAGTACCGTAAATTAATGTACACAGAGTTTGAGGCCAAATTAAGGGTAGAGCATTTCTTCTTTGTATATATTTCCATTATAACTTATAACATCAAAGATAAAAAAAAAATATATATATATAATTATTTTTTTATTATAATATATAACAAATATTCAAGATTTAGGCAATTGATAATTAGGGGCAAATTTCAAAGGGATCACACTGTCACAATACCCTAAGCAACCTTGATCAACATATTCAAAATTTGAACTGGACATGAACATGCATGCATATACAACAAACAAAGATGTCTTCTATCATGAACAAAGTAATATGAATTTTACAATGGATTTAGATCCAAAAGTTCCAACTAATTCTATTGACACTGGATAGTGCATATGATAGCCTTCAGTTGACATGACTCTTGGATTTAGGAAGATTGGTGTTTACACATAATTTGGATAACATCTTTTGGTAAGTACAATGGAGTTGAATGTCCACCATTTTGAATAAGTGCTTGCTCTTACAGTTCAAAATAGTGATATTTAAAGAGTTTTCTTAACTTAATAGAGTTGACAAAAGTATAAGACAATAGATTTATGCACTTGAATATTATTAAAATTGTGTAAGACAGGAGATATTTTTTTAAGACTATGTGTTTTAGAAAGTACATTACTTAAATTGAAACAAGAAATCTTCTAATAAAAGCAGTTTGGTATTAAATTAGAGATCTGTGATTTGACTGCCAATAAGAGGTCTATCAACAAATGGCAACAATATTTAGCTTTTATATATACACAACTAATCACAAAAATTTTAAAGAATAGACAAGACCAATTATGTTATAGTTCAATGAAAAACAAATATTCAAAAAAGCAATAACAACCTAGTACTGGCATAAGGTTAAATGTATTCTATAGTAATATGCAATTTCTAGAAGGACTTGATCACTTTTAGACATTGACCCCTTTAAGTGAAACAAATGCTGGAAAAATTGGTCTGTAATCATCTCTTTATAAAGAGTTATTTTCATTTTACAAGTCCAGAATTTACAATATATAGTAGTAACTTATATCTTTATATCTTTATAATGTTTAATTATTCTTTTAATGTATGCTAAATTCTTCAACTTTTATTTTGCAGTATTTGAAATCAGAAAATTCAACTTTAAGGACAGTGAGTACAGAGAAACAGAACTAAAGGATACACAGATATGTTACACAACAACCTATAGAGGACAGAGAAAATTTTGTTTTATTATTAAATCATACTTTTTTAAATGCTTAGTTTTTAATTCCTAATTTTTCAACTGAAATTGTTGAAAGATTTGCTGCAATGTTGCTGCAATATTGCAAGAAATTAATTTTCCTGCAATATTGCTGCAATATTGCTGCAACATTGCAGCTAATGAATTTGCCGCAATATTGCTGCAACAATCATAGCTACTGATTTTCCCGCAAACATTTGCTGCAATATTGCCGCAAATTGTTGTGGCAATATTGCAGCAAATGTTTGCAAGAAAACTAATTTACATACGAAAAATGAATATTTGCAGCAATATTGCTGCAAATATTTGCAGCAACATTGCCGCAAATATTTGCAAGAAGCTTTATTTTTCCATAAGGGCAGGCACATGTTTTAGAAAGAAGCACTTTTACTAGTAAATAAGGAATTATTTGAACCTAGAATAATTTTGAATTTTGGAAAATTGAAAAGAAATGTATGATGAAAACTAACCCAACTAAATAGGGTTAGCCATGCACACATGGCTAAGGTTCATTTTACTTTCACTGATATTTCAGTATGAACTAACTGTCTTCCTTAGCCATGCATGCATTGCTAACCCTCCAAAATTCGGTTAGTTTTCATCATAAATTTCTTATCAATTTTCCAGAATTCATAATTATTCCAAATTCAAATAATTCCTTTTTTTTTACCACTTTTGTTTTTCTTTGTTGAAATTGTTATTTGCTTTTATAGTGATTAAGAATATAACACAGTGTTGACTGCTGTACCCCAATTTTTGACATTTCTACCTATTATGTCTGTTTTTTTTGCTCACACATTGTTGCCAACATAATGGACTTCCATGTGACTGTCATACAAGTGAGAGGATTAGCTAGCTATAAAACTAGGTTTTATCCACCATTTTCTGCATAAGGAAATGCCTGTACCAAGTCAGGAATATGACAGTTGTTTTCCATTCGTGTGATGTGTTTGAGTTTTTGATTTAGCCATTTAATAAAGGATTCTCCGTTATGAATTTTCCTTGGAGTTCAATATTATAGTTATTTTACTTTTTACACCTCAATAAAATTACAAATAGAAGAATTCAATTCTTAACTAAAGTGTGTAGAGTATAATAAGTATTTATAATGTAGGAAAGGAAGTTTGTATTTTTAGAAATGGGTTGTGGGTCATTTGAGGTTGTATTTTTATTAAGATGCTTTTAAAATTACTTGAAGAAAGGATCTTGGTTGTGAGTGGGTTTTAAATGTCCCTTCCTAACCTCCCATATCCATTTTAATTGAATAACCCTCAGTCAGTTCTTTATAGTTTTAAATGATGTTTTCAACTTTTTTCTTTTTTTTTTTCTCAAAACAATGTGCACCTATAGAGGAAAAGATTTAAGTTTTTGTCCTCTTATTTTTCAATACACCTAATATCTAACTGTGTTTTACAGCTACAGGACAGTAATTTTTCTGAGCTCCATGTCATTGTCCAGGCCTTAATTCAGTATATGCCATCCATTACTATAACACTCTTAAATGTGATAGTACCTGTGATATTTAACAAGCTAGTAATATTTGAAGACTATACACCTGTGTTTGAGATTCGGATAAATTTACTAAGGTAAGTACAAAGATTGCCTGGAATTAAGTCATATGAGATGAAATATGTTGTTCCCTATTAAGGGTACTTGTAAAATTCAAACAATAATATTTGTGTTGCTTGGCTCTCATCTAAGAGTTTGAAAAAGATTTACTCCTATCAAAATGTTGAATATAATTATGTTTAATGATTACAAATAGCAGAATTTGGTAACTGTTTTTATTTCATCTGTGATGAAAGCCCATAGTTGTTATTTTGTAGCAACTATAGTTGATAACGTTGGCAAAACTTTATATATGTTATCACCACTCAAAATTGTTTCATGAATGCTTTCAACTACTGGTAATATTATGTAATTTTGTCTAATTCTGGGAAAATAATACATAGTGTGGCTGTATTATTAAATCATGTACATGAACTTCTTAAAGTTATTTTCTATATTTTCTTCTTTTTTAGGATTATATTACTACGATTAGCCTCCCTTGGAATTTTAATTGGATCAATGTACCGTATTATTGCTTCTCCTGCTGATGATTATAGGGCAGATTGTGGAAATCAAAGATGGGAAGTCACCGATCAAAACCGACAAGTTAAAAGCAGTATAAAGGTTTATATTACTTATCATGGATGTGTATGCAACAAATTACTAACACAGTTTTCAAAATGAAAACTAAAACTTATTGCATTTTAATTGTTTAACTGGAAGGTTCCATATTTTGGTCAATATGGGCAATACGTTGTCTTCAATTCCTCTGTCACTATCATAATCTTGTTGGATATGTATGATCACAAGTATAGAAGCTGAGATGTTTTCACATGTGGTTAAATTTTCCACAATTTAGAAAACCACAAAGGGAACTTTAATAATCAGATGCTACTGTGATAAATTCCTATTCTCACACAATTAGTTGGAAATTTTAAGCATTAATAACTCCATAGTTTTTACATTTCTATTTTATGGTCATCTGCTGTTCAAAACAACACAAATGGTTGATCTTGTCACGGAATAGAAGTTCCTTCATAATATAAGTTCCAAATGGAAGCAATATTCTGGAATAAGTAAATGTTCCCAACGAAATAAATGGTATAGAATATTTGTTCCAACAGGAACAGATATTATGACATTGTTTATAACAAAGTTTCCAGTGGAACTTCTGTTAGGCGGAACAAATATACGTTGACAATCCCAGTCACTTATTAAAAATAGCAACAAGTCCAATATCATAGCAGAGATTCTTTTCTTACATATCATAATTGTGTTCCTGACTTTGAGGTGCCACTAGAGATATTGACTCATTTAAATCAGGCATGTTATTCTTATATGTTGTGGTATAAAATTATTAACAAAAATACTGAAATCCAAGGTAAATTAAAAAAGAGGGAAGTCCATAAAACCTGAAAAAATCCAACTTTCAACTATACCAACTAACAGAATGAATTGAAAACAACTGGCATATCGTGAATTGGTACAGGCATTTCCTTATGAAGAAAATGGTAGGTTAAACCTGGTTTAATAGCTAGTTAAACATCCTACTTGTATGACAGTTCTTTAAATTTTTTATTATATTTAAAAATGCATTCTTGATGTGTTTTACAGTGTTGGGAGACTTATGTAGGACAACAAATCTACAAATTGATGATTTTAGACTTTCTAGTTGGTTTAATCATTACATTTGTGGTAGAATTTCCACGAAGGTAAGAATAGTTATGATCATACCTGTATGAAAAACATGACACGTACTCCAGTCGGACAGTAGCCGTACTGTAGCAGTACTGAGAACCGTACTTATAATATTCATTTGGACTTTTCTTTGAATTGCTTATAATAGATACCCCGGCTGGACTTTCAGCGAAATTAGCCGTAAACCGGCTCGAAATATTTAAATTAGCAGGAGTCTGGTTCATAAAGTCCAGCTGGACTTTAATAAAAGTACGTCTGAAAAAAAATCCAGCCGGCATTTCTGGCAAAAATATGGACTCTATAAAGTTCAGCCGGACTTTACAAAGTCCGGCTGAACTTTAAAAAGTCCAGCTTAACTCTATAAAGTTCAGCTGGACTTCAAAAAGTGCGGTTTGACTTTTAAAGATGATCTCAGCAGGGGTGAATCCAGCTATTTTCAAAAGGGGGAGGGGGGTTCCTAACTCAGGATAGGGGGAGGGGGTCCAACCATATGTCCCCATTCAAATGCATTGATCGTCAAAATAATGGGGGGTTCCAACCCCCGGAACCCTCCCCCTGGATCCGCCACTGCTCAGTTTTTTCTTCAGATGGTTGATTCTTCTGATTTAATTTGCATCATGCATCCCTTGCTATAATCTGAAAATAGAAAAAAAAACAGATGACATTATGCATATATACTGGTTATTTCTTTTCTTTTTTGTACTGTCTTACTGGCAAAACCAAGAAATGGGGTATTGAGAAGCTAAATGATAACTTCTAAAAATTTGTGGTAATTAAATAGCCTAAATAATTTTAAAGTGGCTAAAAATAAAATAAAGTTGGCTTTCAAAATCACTTAAAGTGTAGAAATCAATAAACTTTCAAAACAACTCAAATAATAACCATTCCTTAATACAGAGGGAATAAAAAATATAACAATACATTTTTTTACACAACAATTCAAAACAGGAAGTGACAGTGACATAACAGACAAGATGAAAATTATTGCATGAATATAAATATTTGATGTAGGTTTCTTATTCTTTTTACTCTTCAAAAATAAGAATTTAGCTATTTATAATATTGTAATTATTTTATTAATATGTTGAATAAAAAGAGCATATCAGATAATATCACCAAAATGGTGGAATTCAATTTATTGTACTTACCAGAATTATGCAATCCAAAACACATGCAAACAGCAATCTTCCTAAATTGTCATTGATGCCAGTCAGAAGGATCCATCTTCTCTATTTAATGTGAAAAGAACTACTTCCAAACATTTGATTTACATCCAATGATATAAAATTCTCATTTTGTTCAAGAAAGAAGACACATCTTCCTGTTTATTCCAAATTCAAATGTTGTTGTATTGCAATACATGAGAAGGAGTTGTTTTAAATGTTCCTCTTATGACTAATTGCATGTGCCTTAATTTTGAATATGTGATATATTAAAAAAAGAAAATCAATTATTAATTTGTTTAATTATGAAATTTTTAATAAAAGTGATAGTAATTGCAGAAGTATGTATTTCGAAATGTGTTCTCCCACATATGGCCTCAATCTCTGTGGAGATAGTACTTCCTGTGACCTGTCCAGACTGAGGTTAATTGAAAACAGATGGCACATTTCTACAAGACTAACTGCTATTAAATCACTGTTGATCACTGTTATATGGCTCAAGTTTCTAATTGATGTTAAAGAATGAATGATAATTATTAATTTTATGCATTCATCTAATTAAATATAAATATACTAGAAAATATATAAATTTGACCTGTAACAGATGTTGCTAGTGTTTTTTTTTTTGTGAAAAAAGTAGAAATGTTAAATAATTGCTGTATATTAAACATATTAACTTGGATATAATTCAATCAAAAGTCAACAAAATTAAATTTTAACTTTCCATCAACAGTCTATGTTAAATATTTCATAATGCCCTAAATGGAATTGAAAATCTAGGGAAAGTATCACATCTTATAGTTTGAACTAAAAGTATATTGCAAAAAAATATTTATCATTATTATTAATTACTTGCAAACTTTCATTTTTAACTGTTTTACATTTTGAAAGAATTGTTCCTTTCAAAGGACAGAATCTATTGTGGCAAACTTTTTATTTCTGTAAGGGTATATTTGGCTGATGAAAATTTTCTAAGTCTAAATTCCTGCTCATAAATGAATGTAAAATTTTCTAAGACAAAAATCCTGCTGATCATTCTACAGAAAGGAATAAATTTCCTCAAAAGTCCAGCCGTGTTTATTTTCTTGTAAGCATTACAAAAAGTGCGGTTGGACTTTTAAGAAAATACCGGCTGGCAAATAACCCAAGTATAAGAAAAAGTACGTGTAGGGCTCATGTCAGACTGGAATACGTCTCAAGTCCAGCTAGAGTCCAGTTGAACTCCTGTTGAAATTTTCATACGGGTGTACAGGTTAAGGATCAAATTCTTTCAAATTTAAAAGTGCACAAACTTTTTTGCTGTGAGATTTGTGGACAATTTAAGGAGATGGTTTTCCATGTAAGAAAAGTGGACATAGGGAACTGCTTAAGTCCTTGAAAAATGGTATTAATAGGTATTTTTTTACTATAAAACAGTTTGATTGATAAATTGATTGCTTGAAGGCTTGCACATGTAAATGTTATACTAAGATATAAGATAAGGAGATGCTGTATGATTATTTACCCTGCTACAACTATATAAGCATCTCGTTACTTATGTTGTCTAAACCTGGACATTTACCCCTTTTTAGTTTACTTTTTGAAGTTCAGAAATAGAAATTTCAAAATCAATAAGACTAAAAAACAAGAATTCTTATTGATTTTGATAAATAGTAAAGTTCTGGTGTTCATATGGTTTAGTTTTAGTGTTATCTGCAGTGTACATTTCTTTATTAGAACATTATTACACTTGATATTATTTTTTTTTACATTTTAGAATCATATATAAGAAGTTTCACAATACAAACAAACTAGTGAATATGGTAGGACAACAAGAATTTAATCTGCCTAAAGTTGTATTAGATATCGTTTATTCACAGACTTTGTGCTGGTATGTTACATACAATGTTAGTTAAAAGTTACATGGCACAGTTATTTCGTAATGCATTTCTTTCAGACAACAAATTTAGATTAAAAAAAATCACACCTGCAATATCTCAAATAGATTTTTACAATGAAGTGTACTACTTTTGGCATAAATTATATCAAACTTATAGAAAAGCCTACCAGCTTTAACTCAAAATATTGACAATTCCATGTTAAGAGGGTCTATAATTCAGTTTGACAGCTTCATATATACTAATTTTTTTTTACATTTTTCAACTGTTCCAAATCACTTAACTTTACCTGAAAATCCATTACCTGAACTTTTTTAACATGTAATTTCATTCCTCTACTTACTATTCTATGTATAATATATAAAGAAATTAATTTGGAAGTTGTATGAGAAAAATTTGCAAGTTATACACTGTCCACACTAGGGTATATATTTGTATAGACAATGAAAATCAAGGATGATAACTGTGTCCACAGACCACATTACAGAAAAGAAAATGTACCTGCCCCTTTGAAAAAAATAAAAATAAATTTTTGATATAATCATTTCTTGTATACAAAGTTAAACTGATAGAGTTTTTACAGGAAAATTTAAAAAAAAAAGGATACCTTATTGCTTCTTAAAAAATATAAGATTTACCTAAGAACAAGGGTCTGTAAAAAATCAGAATTTGAATTGGGACTTAAGATACTTACCACCTAGTCCAAATAATTATGACGTCTTGAAAGGCTATTTTATTTTTTTGCATTGACGCCTTAAAATAAAATAGCCTTTCAAGACGTCATAATTATTTGGACTACTTACCAAAGTGAAAGTTCAACAGATATTTCAATTGTCAGGAGTTGTGTAAAATTGATTGTTGTAAAATACTCAGTGACACATACTAAAACATTACAAATATAAGTAGGGTAAAAACAAAATACCTATTCAACTGGTAACATCAGATTATATACTTTAATTCTAAAGAACTAAACTTGACTTTGTTACTATTGTATTTTGTAGGATGGGACTGTTTTTCTGTCCACTGACCCCAATATTAGGATTCCTGAAGTGTTTTATCTTCTTTTATGTCAGAAAGGTATGTTTATGGAAGTATCCAAAATCTATGATTTTATTTTATTATTCTAACTGTACCAAATATACTGGTATGTTGTAGACATTCCATACTGATTCAAAAAGAACTAAATGACAGTCAACATGGGTTTAGGTGTAAAAGGTATGGTGAGACTCAACTCATTATCAGTGTCCAAGATTTTGCCACTCAAATGAATGTTTTACTTTTAGTCTTTTCAAAAGCCTTTGATAAACTCCACCATCAAAGATTAGCTAATAAACTTAATATTTGTAATAATAAAATATATTTATAATTAGAAATCCAACTTAGATTGGATAATAGACTTTTCAGTCGACAAGCAACAACAGGTACTTCTATATGGTGTTAAATCTTCTAAATTAGCTACTGATTATGGTGTCCCTCAAGGAGTAATATAAGGCCCTACATTATTTTGACTTTTTATTAACGATTTACCACAACATATTACAGTGATGCAGCTAATCGTCAGACCTGTCGGACCTAGGGGGCAGACTTTTAGAAGGTCTGGCAAATGAAGTCTTTGTGTCAGACCCAATGACCGGCAAATATTTTTACTGTTTTAGGCTGTCAAAATTGAAATTTCTCTTGGTCCTTGTTACCTTGGCTTCCAATGCAATTGTGTAGTTGAAAAGCATTGAAAACCAAAAGTTCTAATGACACATTTATTGCCGGTAATAAGTAAATGTGCTGATGTAAATGGATTTCGATCTTCTCTGCGTTTATCCAATTAGCTTGGTCATGTGACCATAATTATTTTCGTATTTCTCGGGACTTATCTTTACACATAGCAATGAATGAAAACGAAAGTAAATTTCCGATAAAAATATTGAATAGAAGCATGTTTTCGGCTTCTTTTTGGTAGCTGAGGGATAATTCTGATGATTACAACACTCAGCAAGTATTATCAGAATGCGTCCCTCGAACACATGGTTCATGCAATGGCGCATCCAGACAGAAAACCATGTGTCCAGGACGCGAATGAGCGACTTAACGAGAACATTGTTTTTAATACGACAAACATGGGTTTCGTCTCCATATGACAAATCAGTGGTGCAAGAATTAAATCAGTTGGAACAATAGATGGCAAACTAAAAAGCATTAAAAACCAAAAGACAACTTATGACCGGATTTATGTAAATCAAATTAAACAAATACAAGTATTATTTTAGTTTTCTTCAAGTATTTTTTTTCATTTCAGTTAATGTTTGAACACACATATTTATTATGACCTAAATGTAATTTGCAACTGTTTTTGTTTTTGATCTCATTGTTCTTATGCCAATTAATAAGACAACTATCCATAAAGTTAATGAACAGTTGTCTTATTGGCAAGTGTAGTACAACATTCTCATTTATTTATTTGATGTTGCAGGATAACTTAAATTGAATATGGTCTCAGTCATTAAACCACCCTATGGTCATATCCTTAGTTAACCTGGTCGTTCTAGTCAAGGTTTTAAGGCGTATCTTAATCCAACTGGGAACTAGTTATTATTTTTTGAAAAAAGTAGGTCTGGCAAACAGTTGATAGGACTGGCAAAACTGTCTTACATGCAGGACCCAATGTCTGACAGGAAAACAAAAATTATCCACATCTTTGATGTTACTTGTAATGCTTTACTTTTTGCTGATTATTGTCTTTTATATGGAAATGTAAAAAGTCTGATGCAAAATTACTTCAAAATGATTGACTAGTTTATGGAATCTGAAAGGATCTGGCTGATGAAAATAAACCAGGCAAAATATCATGTTATACAAGTATCTTAAAAACCTTAAACCTCCTTCTTGTAATTATACTTTGCATAGTCCTATATTGAAATCTGTCAAAAATAGTACTGTGGATTCATTTTTATTCGTGGTATACCAATTTTCGTGGGTTTCGTGGGTCACAGCAAACCACGAATTTAAGAATTCAACGAAGAATAATCCCGAAAAATGTGTATGAGTCGGCTGTTTATTTCCGGTTATGTTATGCAGTTCATGTATAGTGTTGACTAGCGATAAACATTGTAACATAACACGTGTTTTTATTGAAAGAAGATACAAACAAGCATTTTGATTAAATCAATAATAAATATATCAAATATCAGTGATAATTTACTTTTTAAAATTGATTAAAACTGTTCATGGAAAATAACTGCAAGTTGTTAATTACCGTGTCATAGTTTGGTTTACTGGTGATTAAAAATCAATAGGATTAAGTACGGGGATATTGCCCGTAGGTAATATTGTTTATGACAGGAACATTTATTTTCACACCTTTTACTTATATGACTGTTTATTTTATCGTGATTAGGGAAATGAGCTTTCAATCATAGAGTTTTGAATGCCTTATAAAATTCCGACAAGAATTTATAAATTGTAAAACAAACAAATAATTAGTTGTCTCTGTCCATTATTGTAATAGAAGTTTTCAATGAACACTTTAACCTAGAATGACCAAGCGAGGATTTTGACAATTCAAAACTTTTTCAATGAATTCCTTCTTTTTTGTTTGTTTTATTATTGATCAAACTAAAGAGGTTATATGATCTCCTAAATCAGAAAGAAATCCACGAATTACGAATCTGAATTTTATTTTTTTTTTGTGATCAGCGATCCACGAATTTACGTATACCACGAAACGTCTCGAAACGTCTTTTTTTCTCTATCCACGAAAATTGATACCCTCGAAAATAAATGAATCCACAGTAGTTATTAAAATGTGTAAATACTGGGTTGCCATGATCTTGATTGGGGACCTCATATAAATAATATTAGCTACTGGTATAAGGCATACAAAACTTTAGGTTTTCTTTGTAGAAATTTAAAAAAACAGCACATGTAAGGTTTTGAAACCTTAGGTACACATTACTTGTATGTCTAGTTGTCCAATACTCTTCCCCAGGTAATTTGGAAAACATACAAAAAACATCACATTACTGAAATTGATCGGATAAAAAAGCAGCTAGATATGTCTTTTACAAAGACAGAACACAACATGCAGTTACAAACATGATTAATTCCCTAAAATAATATTGGCTTGCAAAATAGAAGAACTAATAAAAAGATGAACTATGTTGTCCAAAATTTAATGGAGGTTGGTGGAAGTTACAAAAGAGAATTTAAATTAATCTGATCGGTGTGGTCCAGGAACACAGTTATCGTCCTTTGATTTTCGTTGTCTACAAATATAGTCTCTAGTGAGGACAGTGTGTTACTTGCAATTTTTTTTCATACCCCTTCCAAATTTATTTCTTCATGTTTTATGCCTCAAATAGCAAGAAAGGGGATGAAATTACACTGTAAAAATATTTGGGTCATGAATTTTAAGGTAAAGTAGTGATTTGATCCAGCTGAAAAGGTTAAAAATTAGTATTTCGAAAGCTGTCAAAAGAATTCAAGACCCCTTTAACATAAAATTGTACATATTTTGAGAAAAAGTTAATGAAGTTTTCTATAATTTTGATATATGATTTGTCCCCAAAGTATACACCACACTGTAAAAATATTATTGAGAAAGCGCAGGTGTGATTTTTAGCTCACCTGACCTGAAAGGTCAAGTGAGCTTTTCTCATCACTTTGCGTCCGTCGTCCGTCGTCCTGCGTCCGTCGTCCGTCGTCCTGCGTCCGTCGTCCGTCGTCCGTAAACTTTTACAAAAATCTTCTCCTCTGAAACTACTGGGCCAAATTTAACCAAACTTGGCCACAATCATCATTGGGGTATTTAGTTTTAAAAATGTGTGGCGTGACCCGGTCAACCAACCAAGATGGCCGCCACGGCTAAAAATAGAACATAGGGGTAAAATGCAGTTTTTAGCTTATAACTCAAAAACCAAAGCATTAAGAGCAAATCTGACATAGGGGTAAAATTGTTCATCAGGTCAAGATCTATCTGCCCTGAAATTTTCAGATGAATCGGACAACCCGTTATTGGGTTGCTGCCCCTGAATTGGTAATTTTAAGGAAATTTTGCTGTTTTTGGTTATTATCTTGAATATTATTATAGATAGAGATAAACTGTAAACAGCAATAATGTTCAGCAAAGTAAGATTTACAAATAAGTCAATATAACCGAAATGGTCAGTTGACCCCTTTAGGAGTAATTGCCCTTTATAGTCAATTTTTAACCATTTTTCGTAAATCTTAGTAATCTTTTACAAAAATCTTCTCCTCTGAAACAACTGGGCCAAATTAAACCAAACTTGGCCACAATCATCATTGGGATATCTAGTTTAAAAAATGTGTGGCGTGATCCGGCCAACCAACCAAGATGGCCGCCACAGCTAAAAATAGAACATAGGGGTAAAATGCAGTTTTTGGCTTATAACTCAAAAACCAAAGCATTTAGAGCAAATCTGACATGAAGTAAAATTGTTTATCAGGTCAAGATCTATCTGCCCTGAAATTTTCAGATGAATCGAACAACCTGTTGTTGGGTTGCTGCCCCTGAATTGGTAATTTAAGGAAATTTTGCTGTTTTTGGTTATTATCTTGAATATTATTATAGATAGAGATAAACTGTAAACAGCAATAATGTTCAGCAAAGTAAGATTAACAAATAAGTCAACATGACTGAAATGGTCAGTTGACCCCTTTAGGAGTTATTGCCCTTTATAGTCAATTTTTAACAATTTTTCGTAAATCTTAATCTTTTACAAAAATCTTCTCCTCTGAAACTCCGTGGCCAAATTAAACCAAACTTGGCCACAATCATCATTTGGTTATCTAGTTTTAAAAATGTGTGGCGTGACCTGGTCAACCAACCAAGATGGCCGCCACGGCTAAAAATAGAACATAGGGGTAAAATTCAGTTTTTGGCTTTTAACTCAAAAACCAAAGCATTTAAAGCAAATCTGACATAGGGGTAAAATTGTTCATCAGGTCAAGATCTATCTGCCCTGAAATTTTCAGATGAATCGGACAACCCGTTATTGGGTTGCTGCCCCTGAATTGGTAATTTTAAGGAAATTTTGCTGTTTTTGGTTATTATCTTGAATATTATTATAGATAGAGATAAACTGTAAACAGCAATAATGTTCAGCAAAGTAAGATTTACAAATAAGTCAATATAACTGAAATGGTCAGTTGACCCCTTTAGGAGTAATTGCCCTTTATAGTCAATTTTTAACCATTTTTCGTAAATCTTAGTAATCTTTTACAAAAATCTTCTCCTCTGAAACAACTGGGCCAAATTAAACCAAACTTGGCCACAATCATCATTGGGGTATCTAGTTTTGAAAATGTGTGGCGTGATCCGGCCAACCAACCAAGATGGCCGCCACAGCTAAAAATAGAACATAGGGGTAAAATGCAGTTTTTGGCTTATAACTCAAAAACCAAAGCATTTAGAGCAAATCTGACATGAAGTAAAATTGTTTATCAGGTCAAGATCTATCTGCCCTGAAATTTTCAGATGAATCGAACAACCTGTTGTTGGGTTGCTGCCCCTGAATTGGTAATTTTAAGGAAATTTTGCTGTTTTTGGTTATTATCTTGAATATTATTATAGATAGAGATAAACTGTAAACAGCAATAATGTTCAGCAAAGTAAGATTAACAAATAAGTCAACATGACTGAAATGGTCAGTTGACCCCTTTAGGAGTTATTGCCCTTTATAGTCAATTTTTAACAATTTTTCGTAAATCTAAATCTTTTACAAAAATCTTCTCCTCTGAAACTCCGTGGCCAAATTAAACCAAACTTGGCCACAATCATCATTGGGGTATCTAGTTTTAAAAATGTGTGGCGTGACCTGGTCAACCAACCAAGATGGCCGCCACGGCTAAAAATAGAACATAGGGGTAAAATTCAGTTTTTGGCTTTTAACTTAAAAACCAAAGCATTTAAAGCAAATCTGACATGAAGTAAAATTGTTTATCAGGTCAAGATCTATCTGCCCTGAAATTTTCAGATGAATCGGACAACTCGTTATTGGGTTGCTGCCCCTGAATTGGTAATTTTAAGGAAATTTTGCTGTTTTTGGTTATTATCTTGAATATTATTATAGATAGAGATAAACTGTAAACAGCAATAATGTTCAGCAAAGTAAGATTTACAAATAAGTCAATATAACCGAAATGGTCAGTTGACCCCTTTAGGAGTAATTGCCCTTTATAGTCAATTTTTAACCATTTTTCGTAAATCTTAGTAATCTTTTACAAAAATCTTCTCCTCTGAAACAACTGGGCCAAATTAAACCAAACTTGGCCACAATCATCATTTGGTTATCTGGTTTTGAAAATGTGTGGCGTGACCTGGTCAACCAACCAAGATGGCCGCCACGGCTAAAAATAGAACATAGGGGTAAAATTCAGTTTTTGGCTTTTAACTCAAAAACCAAAGCATTTAAAGCAAATCTGACATGAAGTAAAATTGTTTATCAGGTCAAGATCTATCTGCCCTGAAATTTTCAGATGAATCGGACAACCCGTTGTTGGGTTGCTGCCCCTGAATTGGTAATTTTAAGGTGATTTTGCTGTTTTTGGTTATTATCTTGAATATTATTATAGATAGAGATAAACTGTAAACAGCAATAATGTTCAGCAAAGTAAGATTAACAAATAAGTCAACATGACTGAAATGGTCAGTTGACCCCTTTAGGAGTTATTGCCCTTTATAGTCAATTTTTAACCATTTTTTCGTTAATCTTAGTAATCTTTTACAAAAATCTTCTCCTCTGAAACTACTGGGCAAGTTAATTATAGATAGAGATAATTGTAAGCAGGAAAAATGTTCAGTAAATTAAGATGTACAAACACATCACCATCACCAAAACACAATTTTGTCATGAATCCATCTGCGTCCTTTGTTTAATATTCACATAGACCAAGGTGAGCAACACAGGCTCTTTAGAGCCTCTAGTTTTAATTTGAATTTATTGTCTAAAAGAAATGCACTATGAAATAACTGTGTTCTCAGGCCAGGAGGAGCAAATATAAATTTAGACAAATTTCAACTAATAAAGACTTTTAAAAATATCGTTTTTCCCTAACACGATCTCAGACTGGATTTCTCTACCTTAATCAATAGGTATGTCTCAAACCCAAGAATCCTTCAATAGTGGTAAATCCATGACATTTGAAGGATTCAATCAACCTTTTGAATTCATAATAGCCAATGTACATACTATATATTTTACATTGTTAACTAATTATATTCTTATGTTTAATTCCATGTACTTAGGACACAAATTTCAGAACGTAAAAATTGTTTTACACTATTAACAGAAATTACATGTATTACCTCCCAAATTATCAAGAATTCTTAGCAACTAAAAAGAAGATTTGAAATTTTTCTGAATACTACATTTTCATACATTTTTCAGCTATCCCTTATGAAAAACTGTGTTCAACCAGTACGACCCTACAGAACATCTAGAACTAACTCTTTGTTTGCTGCTGTATTATTCCTTTCGTTTCTGCTGGCAACAATACCACTTGCATATCTCATAGGCAGGTAGGTAAATGTGATATACTATATTATGTATCCTTATTACAGTGTAATAATGAGATGTCTCTTATAGCTGACTATATTAGATGCAAAATATAAACATTAGAACAACTGTAAAAGTTCTTGATCTGATTTCATCTTTAATGATAATCAGACATCAGTTATTTGTGAAGTAATTGCAAGCAAGAAAAATGACATGTTCACCCTCTTCTCTACTCTTTTCAGATTTATATTTTCTCCAAACAATTGATTATGTCAATCAACATGTGCTTTGCTTGATTTCAGCACAGCATTGATCAAAATTAAATCAGATCATCAAATTTTCTTGCTTTCCCTTTAACTTTGGTATTATGACATCACCAAATAAGACAACTATGTCTGATAATGTCATTTAAAAAAAACACAATTGTTAAATACATTGAAAAATGAAATAAAGTTTGGCTTCAATTTGTCTTAAAACTATTGAAGAAAGTGGTTCCACCACTGTACCACTTGTGATGAAATATTTCTTCACTCTACATTTGAAAATTTGTATTACGCTTAATGCAAAGGAAGATTCTATATTTATCATCTATTTCTATTGTCACAGAAACACATTTTTTACATACAGTATTTCTAATAATATAGTGAAATTGAAGATCCCATAGTTCTGGAAATTTATTTATAGTGTGTATAAATATATGAAAAAAAATAATTTTAAAATGACCATTAATGTTGCAGTTTTATCTTTAAAATTTTACTAACTGTTAACCAAAAATTTTACCTTTGCAACTAAAAATTACCTCAGACAGAGAAGAGTTATGGCTGTAGTCTTGTAATTGACTGCTTCATAGGCTTACATGCAAAACAGCTGATCTTTGAAATTTTTTAAAAATAAAATGCTACATAGAATTATTTTTATGTACATATCATGTATGTTGTAATGTGAAATTGTGATTTAATGGGAAAAAAAGGTTATGAAACCCTGAAGTCAAAACTACTTTTTTCTACTTTCTGTTTGCTGTTTTTACTAGGCCGCACAACTTCCAGTAAACACAATATCCTTCCAGTTTACTGGTTTGATATCCCCAAAAACATGCAATATTTTTAGTGAATAGATGTTTCAATTCAGCATAAACTTTTTATCAAACAGAAAATTGAGTCCAGAAAAAAATTCAGAAAAAAATGGACTATTTTATTTCACTCCATGTTTTGACATGCACCGGAAACTGGAGTTGTAATACAAGACTGGTACCTTATTGATCTATCTACTTGCAGAATTGTAATGTTTCTTTTAAAAAGTACAGTTACCTCCCTTGTCATAGTTTTACCGTATGTTAGAAAAGTTTTTATTATCTCCCTTGTCACAATTTTCAAATATTAAAAAAGCTATAGTAATTATTTATTTCAGTTGTTCACAATGCAAAATTGTGGACCATTAAGACAGTAACATGTTATATCCCCACTCATAGAGTATACTGCAATCTCCTTGTTCATTCATTTGTCTATATTTATCTGATCATAACTTGGTTACATATAACTTAGTTTGATGTTTGGTCTTAAACTGTATGATAAATTGTTCTGTGTAAGTGAAATTCAGATCTACCTGGCAGTCGCTTTGTTGTTTGGCAATACATGTACTTAAAATTTTCATTTTACCCACTGAGCATGGAATTATTTGTCGATATCTTACAATAAGTTGTCAACGACAGGACATTTTAACACAACATTAGGATTGAAGGAAGAAAGCTCCCTTTCGATTAAAAATCATTATAAAAATTGTTGGCTATGTCACTCAAGAGTTACGTGACTTTTACTGTTAGATGTAAGGCAATTTTCACATATTACACACTAACTCCAGTATGCCTGGATTGATTTCCTCAAAAATTTACATTATTGTTGGGATTGGTAAAAGGAATCTTCTTTGTGATATTTTTTTTTAATTTTCTGATTTGTCATTCAAGAGTAACATAATAATAATCGTTAGAATTAAGGCAATTTTTCACATATCACACACTTACTTCAGTATGCCATAATGGAATTCCTCAAAACTTGAATTTATTACTGTAATAGGATTGATAAAAAGAAGATCAATTTCAATTTTTTTTTAACTTTCTGGATTGTAGTTTAAATCTTAAGGGACTTTTATTGTCAGATTTCAGTAATTTATTTTTCTTGAGTTTGCTTGCATTTATTTACTGGAAATTTAACAGTATTGTTGGAATTAGTGCGCATATCACACCATTCAATTTAAAAAAAAATCTGATATGTCATTCCAGAGTTATGGGACTTTGACAGTCGGATAAATAAAAAGCATTTTTTAAATATCATTAACTAGCTCTAGTTTGTACTACAAAGGAGTAGGCCCGGTAAGACCCCATTTTGGCCCCAGAATATAGCCTTTCAAAAATTTGTTAAAAATTTAGACTTTTAGCATTTTATTGGAAAGAAGAATACTTTTGTTACATAAATATGGGCTGTTTTTGACAATACAATGCACATGCATCAGATACTAGCATCATTAATGCATGCAAAATTATTGAAATCTTCACAATTTTAGCATTTGTGCTTATTTTTAGACGCTTTTGTCGAAAACGGAAGTGGCCGCACTTGTGTTCAGTCTTAATATTTAAATATATGTTGTATTTGATGATAATACATGACATATGTAAAGGTTGAGACTGAACACGAATGCGGCCACTTTCATTTTAGACAAAAATCATCTGAAAAGTGATGTTTTGTGGCATATTTGATAGATTTTTCATATTTAATCTTGAATTAAGGCGTCTTTAAGGACCAAATCAGTTTAAATCTTTTACATAAACTAATTGAATCGACTGAAGAAGGCACTTAAGTGTTTAAAAAATGTCAAAAATCTTTCATGAGATGTACTTCATATTTTAGGCCAAAATAAGCCCTTACCGGACCTTCTCCTTTAGAACCGTTGTTAGGATTGGTGAAAAGGTCAAACAAAAAAATATCAAACTCCAAGGCAAATTAAAATGAAGTAGTCCTTTTTTTTATACCCCACGCAACGAGTTGCAGAGGGTATAATGTTTTTGACCCGTCCGTCCGTCCGTCTGTCCGTCCGTCTGTCTGTCCGTCCGTCAGTCCGTCAGTCCTGTTTCTTGTCATCGCAACTCCTCTCAAACCACACAACAGAATTTAACGAAACCTTTTTAGATAATAAGGACATACTATGTAGTTGTGCATATCGACAGGAAATTACGATTCAATTTTTTTTCTAGGAGTTACGCCCCTTTGAACTTATTTACTTTAATGTACTACTGCAACAGTTTGTCATCTCAACTCCTCTGAAACCACACAACAAAATTTCATAAAACTTTGTAGATAATAAGGCCATACTACGTAGATGTGCATATCGACAGGAAATTATGATTCAATTTTTTTTCCAGGAGTTACGCTCCTTTGAACTTATTTGCCCAATATACTACTGCAACCTTTTGTCATCGCAACTCCTCTCAAACCACACAATAGAATTTCATGATACCTTTTCAGATAATAAGGACATACTACCTAGATGTGCATATCGACAGGAAATTATGATTCAATTTTTTTTTCTTATACAATTTTTTTTTCTTAGTTATTTTATTTCTCCAGTGACAATGTGGGGACGTGGGGTATGTGAGCGCGCTCACTAAGGTTCTTTAATTATATAGAAAATTGTCTGGTTTGTCAATCCAGAGTTGTGGGACTTTAACAGTCATATTTTACACACTATTTTTAGGATTAAGGTATCCTCAAGCAAGGTTTTCTACAGAGCCATTTTGTTTGCTTTTGATTAAATGCCTTCTAAATGTTTCATTTTATTCTTGCAGCAACTTCAATATACACAATAAGAGCGTACCATGTGCTCTTGGCACAGCAGCTTATTTACCATTACTTTCTTGTGGGTTATTCAAACAGAATATGTTTTGTGTCTTATTATTGGCTTTTTTTTCATTAATATGTTGTTTGCCATCCAGACTGTTTATGTGTAAGGCATTATTACAATTTTTACGATCTCAATTTTGGCAGTTTATAGTTCATATATAGACATTTTATATCAGAATACATTGTATTACTGCCTCTTAGCTATAGGTCATTCAGAAACTGAGAAAGTTTACATATTTTTGCATATTTCAGTATTTCCCCATCCCAGAGTTGTGGGCCATTCAGACAATATATGGGAGGTTATGTATTCTTTGATGTCATTCCTAATGAAATACAGACTTGGCCTTCAGCAGCAGTAAAAGTTTTCACAGTACTTGGATCAACAGCTTTCCTCATACCAGCAATTCTTGTAGTCTGGTAATTTTAATTAGTATACATTTTTATAATTACATATACAGAAAATGAAATTATTCATTGTATTTCCATTATTTCAAAGTAAAAAATATAATAAATGTAAAACAAAAAAAAGTTTGAAACAAAGAAATGTTTATCTGCAGAGGAATTAAGTAAATAATTTGACCTTGAGATGAAGAACCAGGGGCGGTTTCAGGCAGGGACGTGGCGGGCGTGCGCCCCCTAAAATTTGCAAAACATGGGTTGTCCTCAGCTTAATAATGTATATGTCGATAATTTTACCTCAAAAAAATTTAAGTTTGCGCCCCCCCCTAACCTAATATCCTGGATCCGCCCCTGAGAACAACAGCTCTGCTTTTGCTTTTGGTTTTGATGTGAATGTAGTGATTTTGTGTGTCATTTCAGTTCTATAATGTATGGTTACTGGGCATCTAAAGAAGGAAGTAAGAGACAGGCAGAACTAATACAAGAAGAGCTGACTGAGGTAAGTAGTTACACAAAGCATTACTATTTCTTCTCCTACGTATCTATAGCTCTCAAAGAATACTCAACTGTAATTATTATAATGAATGTATGATCAAACATTAGCATGTATCATAAAAGTACAAGTAAAATCAAATGGTCGACCTTACAAACTAAAAGATTAAAAGAGAAGTTAACAGGAGTCAAAATACTATTCAATGGTCAATGTTTTAAGATAGCTTACATGATTTTGACCAATTCAATTGTTTAATTATGTTAAGAGGCTCCAGTGGAGTTTTTCATAGTTGTTTGTTTTGTTAATGTATAAAGAAAATTCACTGGAGTTTATCAAATTGATGTATAGTCAATGTTTATTTACAATTTTTGTTTAAGGTTGACTTTAATTTTTTTATTAGACCATACAAGTACTTGTTCCTGCAAAAATGATTGTCACTGATTGATCATGTTGATACTGATACATTTATATTTTAACAGGAAGGAAGAGACAAACAATTCCTAGTAGCTCAAGTCAATGAAATCCTACAACACTTAGATGCAACTAATTCTTAATGGATGACATAATGTTTTGTTTTCTCAAATACTGAAGTATTTCATTTCCATCTTCATGTGCTCTGCAGAGGAAACTGCCGTTGTAAACTCAAGACTCAAGTCATAATGTAAAACGTCAAACACAAGTGTTCTACAGAGGAAACTGCCATTGTAAACTCAATACTTACATCTTAATGCATCAAACAGCAGAGTACAATGATGGACTCTTAGGATTTTGTTCTTCTGATGACTAACTCAAAAACATAAAATAATTATCTGTGAATTTTTGAATTATGCATAAATGAAGGTACTATTTTTTCTGAATAATGGCAGAAAAAATACACAAAGGATTAAGAGTCAAGTTTGCAGAACAAGACTTTTACATAGGGCATCATCTAAAACAAAATCAATCTAAAGGTAATAAATTTAAGCAATAATCATACTCTGAGTGTATGCTGTTGATTCAGATGTCATATATGCATAGAAGCAGAGCTTGAAACTTTTTATAAAAAATGAATAATGTTTCCTGCATTAAATTATTCTGCTCACCAACATCATATTCTATAAAATGTTTTCACAAAATGGTTTATCTCGGCAGAAAGATCTCAGAAAAGCAAATAGATGGTACTTCAAACTGCAAAAGTAGTTCGTTCATTTGATTATATTTCTAATATAATTTTTTTCTGTATTCTGTGTATATACTCATTTTATGGGAACCAGTTTTTAAGGATTCAGGAATATTTATGTTTTTTCAGGATTCTGACAAATTCTGCATACAAGCCATTAATAGAAATTTGTATTTTGCTGAACACTTAAATTCATGGTTCACCTTTACTGACAAAATCTATGAAAATTAGTATCCCACGATTAATAATGAACCCACTATTCAGCATTTTAAATTAAACTTATACTCAAGTTTCTTCTTCTAAAAAACGTTTATCTATATTAATCATTGTTATCATTGGTATAAAGAAAGTTAAATATACTTGCCTACAGATAATACCTGAAGTTTTTACCTACTTTGATGTTTGTGAAATTGCATAAAGTACACAATCATTTGTGTGTATTAAGTTTTATTTATGGTTCTTGAGAGTTTTACAATATCTAGCCTGACAATCAAAAGTTAAGGTAAAATTGTTTGAATTTGATTATTTGTTATGTATTTATTTTATTATGTTTTTTGATTTTCTTAGAATTGTTTATTATCTGTGATTTTTTGTTAAGCATTTAATAAATTATATTTTGACTTCTCTCTGCTTACTTTTTCAGTATGTAGTATATAAATCTCTTCCTTATTTTTAGCTCACCGGGACCCAAAGGGCCCCATGTGAGCTTATGCCATCACTTGGCGTGCGTCATCGTCCGTCGTCTGTTGTCGTCTTTTGTCGTCGTCTGTCGTCGTAAACTATTTCAAAAATCTTCTCCTCTGAAACTACTGGGGCAAATACCATCAAACTTTAACTAAATGTTCCTTAGGGTATCTAGTTTATAAATTGTATCCGAAGTTTTGATCCATCGACAAACATGGCCGCCATGGCTAAAAATAGAACATAGGGGTCAAATGCAGTTTTTGGCTTATATCTCAAAAACTAAAGCTTTTAGAGCAAATCTGACATGGGGTAAAATTGTTCATTTGGTCCAGATCTATCAGCTCTGAAATTTTCAGACGAATCGAACAACCCATTGTTGGGTTGCTGCCACCGAATTGGTAGTTTTAACAAAATTTTGCAGTTTTTTGTTATTATTTTGAATATTATTATAGATATATATAAACTGTAAGCAGCAATAATGTTCAGCAAAGTAAGATCTACAAAAAAGTTAATATGACCATAATTGTCAATTGACCCCTTAAGGAGTTATTGCCCTTTAAAGATAATTTTACACAATTTGTTCATCAAGTTTGCTAACATTTAAAAATCTTCTCCTCTGAAACTACTGGGCCAATTACCTTCAAACTTTAACTAAATGTTCCTTAGGGTATCTATCTTGTTTATAAATTGTATCCGAAGTTTGTATCCATCGACAAACATGGCCGCCATGGCTAAAAATAGAACATAAGGGTCAAATGCAGTTTTTGGCTTATATCTCAAAAACTAAATCTTTTAGAGCAAATGTGACATGGGGTAAAATTGTTTAATTGGTCAAGATCTATTGGCCCTGAAATTTTCAGACGAATCGAACAACCCATTGTTGGGTTGCTGCCACCGAATTGGCAGTTTTAACGAAATTTTGCAGTTTTTTGTTATTATTTTGAATATTATTATAGATATATATAAACTGTAAGCAGCAATAATGTTCAGCAAAGTAAGATCTACAAAAAAGTTAATATGACCATAATTGTCAATTGACCTCTTAAGGAGTTATTGCCCTTTAAAGACAATTTTACACAATTTGTTCATCAAGTTTGCTAACATTTAAAAATCTCCTCCTCTGAAATACAGGTGAGCGATTCAGGCTCTTGAGAGCCTCTTGTTAAGGTATAGAACCACTGATGTGGGCCTAGTCAGAAAGGACATACAAGAAAATAGTACATATTTTAAACAAGATAGTTATTACATATAACTGTTACTTTGTAAATAAGTGAAACATTTGGAAAATTTTGGTATTAAAGTCTTAAGGACTTGGGATTGCTATAGAACCCTTGTTGAAAGTTTCTTTTGAATAATAAAAAAAATATGTGAATTTGAAATAGGAGGGCATATTTTGCCTGTTGCTCATATCAAAACAAAACAAGTGGTTTTTTATATAAAATTGAGAATAGAAACGGGGAATGCGTCAAACAGACAACAACCCAATCTAAGAGCAGAAAACAGTCCAAGGCCACCAATGTGTCTTCAACACAGTGAGAAAATCCCGAACCCAGTGGCAGGCTTCAGCCGGTTGTGTCCGTCTGTCTGTCTGTCTGTCTGTCTGTCGTCAACACTTCAGACAAGAACTCAAAAAGGCTAACACTAATTTTCATGAATCTTTAGTGAAATGTTTATATCTATTGACATAAGCTCCTTTTGGATTTTTATAAATTTTAGATATCACGTTTCTGAGTATTGGGACTTTATTTTATATTTAAAAGAGGGGATTTTCCAGTTTTCGGACAATAACTCTAAAACGCTTTGAGCAGTTTTCATAAAACTTTGGTGACTTGTTTATATCTTTTGAAATAAGCTCCCTTTTATTTTGTTTTTTTTTCCATATATTTCTGATATAACATAGGGGAACGTTATGGAACTTTATTATTTGAAAAATCATTGAAAACTGCCCATTTTTCACACTTTGGAAGGTTATAGAATTTTATTCGTTCAAAAAGGGGGTCTATTTGAGTTGTGCTCACAGTGTGTCTAGTTGATCATATAAATGCATTTAAAGCATAAAGACTAGCTAAAAGTTCGACAGGCGTATCAATGTGCTTTTGGCACAGCTCTTTATTTTCTCAAGGAATTCACAGGAAGGTACATAAACCTACATATTACTTGGTGAAATAATCATTTATTGTTCTTTTGCTGTGCTATTACAACACTGTCTCAGGTTAGGGGGAGGGTTGAGCGCTCACAAACATGTTTAACCCTGCCACATTCTTTATGTGCCTGTCCCAAGTCAGGAGCCTCTAGTTCAGTGGTTGTCGTTGGTTCATGTCTGTCACATTTGTTTTTCGTTAATTGTTTTGTTATAAATTGGGTCGTTACTTTTCTCAATTGAATTTTTACATATTTTTCATGTCGGGGCCTTTAATAGCCGACTATACAGTATGAATTTTTCTCATTGTTGAAGGCAGTACGGTTGCCTATAATTGCTTACATCCACTTTATTTGAACTTTGGTGGACAGTTGTCTCATTGTCAATCATACCTCATCTCCTCATTTTTGTTGAGCCTTAGACTTTTGTCGAAAAAGCGAGACATAGCGATCCTACATTCCGTCAGCATCGCCGTCGGTGGCGTCCACAAATATTCACTCTGTGGTTAAAGTTTTTGAAATTTTAATAACTTTCTTAAACTATCCTGGATTTCTACCAAACTTGGACAGAAGCTTGTTTATGATCATAAGATAGTATCAAGAAGTAAATTTTGTAAAAAAAAAATTCCTGTTTTTCCGTATTTTACTTATAAATGGACTTAGTTTTTCTGCCAGGAAACATTACATTCACTCTGTGGTTAAAGTTTTTAAAATTTTAATAACTTTCTCAAACTATCCTGGAATTCTACCAAACTTGGACAGAAGCTTGTTTATGATCATAAGATAGTATATCCAGAAGTAAATTTAAAAAAAAAAATTCCTGTTTTTCCGTATTTTACTTATAAATGGACATAGTTTTTCTGCCAGGAAACATTACATTCACTCTGTGGTTAAAGTTTTTAAAATTTTAATAACTTTCTTAAACTATCCTGGATTTGTACCAAACATGGAAAGAAGTTTGTTTATGATCAAAAGCTAGTATCTAGAAGGAAATTTTTATTAAAATTTTGTACTTGTTTATCCATATTTTACTTAGAAATGGACTTAGTTTTTCTTCCAGTTAACATTAGATACAGTCTGCAGTTAAATTTTTTAAAACATTTATTAGATTCATAAACTATCCTGGATTTTTACCAAACTTGGACAAGAGCTTCTTACAATAAAAAAATTGTATCGAGAGGAATATTTTTATTAAATTTTTTCCTCATCTCATTTTTGTTGAGCCTGCGATTAACAGCAAAAGTAGGCGAGACACTGGGTTCCGCGGAACCCTTACAAATTTTTTCAGTTTAATAGCTGCTTATTTGGCTTGAAAAAAGAAATCTTAAGTTAGGACCTAAAACCTCACACAAAAGCTGATAGAAATTAGATTACTATAATGTTGATTCATATTCAAATAATGAAATTTAGACAGATTTTAATTTTAATTTTTTAATTGATCCCAGAAGTCGGACACAATATGCTGACTCTATGAAATTTGCACAAATAGATCAGCTAATTATTTATTGGTTCATCAACAGAGACAAATTATATTTAGAGTTTAGAACACTAGTTTGAATATATTAGACAATGTAGTCCCATTCAAGTTGTAATAATCCATATGCAAACATTAGGTAAGATTCATACATTCATACATACATGAACTTGCATATAAACATTAGAGAACCTTATATAAGTAGGGCCTCAAAGAAGACAAATAATGTATGAGCATGTGTTTAATATATATTGAGATGACCACAGCATGACTGAAGGATATAGGCACTTTCTCATTAGCAGTTACATTACCATGTATTTTAATATATTCAGATATGGAATTTAGATAATTTTACTCTTGACTAAATATGTAGGCCAGTGTAACTGAACATCTAAAAACCTATTGTAACAATGCCATTTAAAGTATTGTTAGTGTAAGATTTCTTCACAATTTATTTCAGCCCTGCTTTTTCACCCATGCCATGTTCTATATTTAAATTTTAAAGTTGATTTAAAGGCCAAGCTTATAGAAACTGTTTTATATCCCCCCTTTTTGTCGAGCCTGCAACATTTATGTTTCAAAAGCGAGACAAAGCGATCCAACTTTATGTAGGCGGCGTCAGCAGCCTCAACATTCAGGTTCAGTCTGTGGTTAAAGTTTTTTTTAGACATCAATTACTTTGTCAAACCTTCATGGAATTTTTATGAAATTTGAACACAAGCTTGTTTATGACCAAAAGACAGTATCCAGAGCAAAATTTTGAAAATATTTATTTTCATTTTTCCGTATTTTACTGATAAATGGACCTAGTTTTTTTTTACTGTTAACAAGAATTAAGATACAGTCTGGTGTTAAAGTTTCTTACACATCAATGACCTTGTCAGATCTCATATAATTTTTTTATACGCCCGTCAAATTTTTGACGGGACGTATTATGTTATACAAATGTCCGGCGTCCGTCCGTCTGTCTGTCCGTCTGTCTGTCCGTCTGTCCGTCTGTCTGTCCGGCGTAAACATGTCGCACCGTAAATCTAGAATGACTTATCCAAATTTCATGAAACTTAACATAGTTGTTTCTTATGATGGTCAAACGATCTGTATACTTTTTGGTGAAAATAAGATTAAAACTTTTTGAGTTACGGGACTTAGTAACTAAAACAGGTGTGTGTTTTTTTTCACATGTCGCGCCGTATCTCAAAAACAATTTATGATTATTGCTTAAAACTTTACACACTTCTTAGTTATATTAATCTTAAGATCTGTATACTTTTTGGTGATGATTCAAAATTTTATTTTTGAGTTATTGAGTATTTTGTTAAAAAGGGGGAGGGGTTTTTCACATGTTGCGCCGTATCTCAAAAACAGTTAATGATTATTGCTTAAAACTTTACACACTTCTTAGTTATATTAACCTTAAGATCTGTATACTTTTTGGTGATGATTCAAAATTTTATTTTTGAGTTATTGAGTATTTTGTAAAAAAAGGGGGAGGGGTTTTTCACATGTCGCGCCATATCTCAAAAACGATTTATGATTATTGCTTAAAATTTTACACACTTCTTAGTTATATTAATCTAAAGATCTGTATACTTTTTGGTTTTGATTCAAAATTTTATTTTTGAGATATTGATTTTTTTTTTTTTAAAAGGGGTGTTTTCCCATGTCGCGCCGTATCTCAAAAACGATTTATGATTATTGCTTAAAATTTTACACACTTCTTAGTTATATTAATCTAAAGATCTGTATACTTTTTGGTTTTGATTCAAAATTTTATTTTATAGATATTGAGTTTTTTGTAAAAAAAAGGGGGGTTTTCGCATGTCACGCCGTATGTCAGAAACTATTTATGCTTATTGCATAAAAATTCACACACAAGACGATGGGCGTATCATGCGCTCATGGCGCAGCTGTTTATTAAACTTTGGCAGAAGCTTTTTTATGATTAAGAGATTACCATTATCCTATGTTTAATCACTGGTATCAGAAGTTTTATCAGTATTTCAAGTTTATAAAATGTTTAATCAACTTGAAATCCATGATGTAATATATAGTTGGTTTTTAAGCAATTTAAATTGTGAGAAATTTCACACATCCTTTCTTTATAGATTGACAATTTCCTATTCAGGAGTTAAGTGTTATCTTAGTTCTTATTGTTAAGATTGGGAAAGTTAGTCCCATAACAATTACCTTGTTACCTGGATTTAATTACAAATTCCCAAGGACAGTGGTGAAATTGATCCTCTCAATCAATAAAAAACAACAACAAAGATTTACATTCATATTGCCTCCCTTAGGTAGAGCTCAATATCTAGGAAGTAAATTTCAAATCATAATTATCAAAATATCAATATGATATCATTGTAAATAATCAACGTGATCAAGAAAAGGACATGAACTATTTTCATATTAACAAGTGGTGAGTAATTGTATTTGTATGAGTTTATTTAGAATTTAATGTCACGATGAATGAACTTTAATATTACATAGATTTAAATTTTATTTGTTGAATACCTTGATACAGAGTTGGCTGATTAAAGGTAAGGAATGTTTCTATTATATATATTATCAGTTAAATTATTAATGCTCAAACTGGTGGGAAATTTTTAAAGTGAAAGCAGGCTATTGGAACACAAGCACTGTTTTTATACCACACAATAAGAGTTCCAATTACTATGAACTGTCCGACATGTGGAAATACAGCTGCCTTTCTTTTTCTAGAAGTGAAAATACTGTTAATTGTTAGGTTTTTTTTTCAATTATAAAACGTTTAGATTAAGAAAAATTAAGGATAAAAAATGTAAAGCAAAGTGGAATTGGTGATACAAAGTGCTTAAAAGACACAAACACAATCCTATAAAACTGTTTTCTTGACTGAATGAGTTAAGGTTGTATTTTTTTAATACAATCTAACCAAAGAGCAGAAAACAGACCAAGGCCACCAATGGGTCTTCAATGCAGCGGAAATTCCTTCACTCGGAGGTGGTCTTCAGCTGGCTTATAAACTATCACTTATCTGCATATAAGACATATAATGTCAAATCAGAGGTGCTTTTTAGGAACATGTATAAAGTTTCTACAAAACAGTGTAGTTTGAATTGAAATTGGCATTAAAGGAAGGAAACTGATTGTAGATTGTTGATTATGAACTTGTGATGAAGTGAAACAATAACATTATTGTTTAAAAGGTATAACTGTCCCATGCACATGATAACTGTTCTTACTTTAAGTACTAGTAGTTACTTACTGACAGTACTTCACACCAACTTAGGTTTAAATTACTTTGAAGTATCTCTTATGAAGAACTTACATATTGAAAGTTGAGACAGTAAAATAGTTATATAAAGTTCTATTGATTTGTCTATAATGTTCTGACAAGTAGACTTATATATGATCAGTAGGAAGGAAGTACTTAGAATCGTTATTGTTTATGAATTTGCAAGTAAAAGGAATCATATATAATTTTGTCTAAAAATTACATGTAAAAAGGCTGGTTAATAGGGAACACAACTTGAATTAATTTCATAATGCAGTTATTTATAATTTTGACTGATGTCTATTAAAATAATTTTTTTAAACTACATATATATATATATATATATATATATATATATTTGGCATATCTTGAGAAGAAATTAATATTCTGAGTAGTCTTTAATGCATTATTTATTCTGTTTTTTTTCTACTTCAATCTGAATCTATAAAGATATATGGTGGTTCCTTGTCTTTTTACACTCCTCCATTCTATCACCAATTCCACACAAGTATAATGCTTTTGTTGTTCCTATGTAATAATAGTAGACATCCTTTTGTTTTCAATATACATGTATTTAAACTGGCTGCAACTAAATTGAGTGTTAGTATATAGTAAGTTCTATTAAACTTTGATAAGCCATAAAAATTCATAATACTCTCTACACAATACATTGTATTTATGGTCCCAGTGCCATGCTAAAGAACCCTTGTAACTCTTTCTGAGTGGTCATTGGGTTGCCTATTATAAAGTAAAATGTCTCCCTATCCAAAATATTCTCATTTTCCAGTGGCAGTATAAATTCCACACCCTTCATCCAAGTAGACCCTGCAGACCCTATCTATTGTATTAACTATTAATTTGTTCTCCTCCTGAACATGAACGAACTATTTGCCATTGGATGTTGAGCAAACAACAATAAAAAAACTCCATTAAAGGCCTTTATTAAAGAGAAAAGGGGAGATAACTCTAACAATTAAAAAGACAGTATTTCCAAACTTTTATTGAATTATTTCAATAAATGAAGCCATTCAAAAGACAGGTTTAATGTAATTTCATTTTACTCTCTTTTGAACTTCAATTCACTATAAAATAAGTACTAAGAATTTAATCTTGACCCTGAAAAATATTCTATTTATAAAACAATAAATTACTGCAGCTGTTGTAAATTTTTCCATATAGATTGACAGGACATGATTGAAATTGATATGTTACTTCTAATGAATGATCAATACAAATATATAGGCCAAACTGGGACATTATATATTGTTAGTATAATAGTTCCAGATGCCAAAATATATTTGAAATAAAATGAAAATCTATTTTACAAAAACACTGATGTGATTTCATAACCTGTTATTTTATTGTTGTGTTTGATCAATAGGTTTCCTGATGTTTTATCTCATTGTAAATTTGATGAATTACATTTATTACACAATTTGTTGACATGTCTTTAAAGAAAACTACAATTTTTAATACAAGGAAACGGAATGACAATTTTTAAGCATTTAAAATTTTGAGGAATAAAAAAGAAGATAAAATACGGTAAATAACCATTTAGGTAAGTTTTAGACAAAATTCATAAATATGATGGTATTGAACTAAAGTAACAACTCATGAATGTGAATGTAAACTCATTGGTAATAGTCAAAATATCACCAAGGTAAGAAAAAAAATTTTGAGCTATATTTTAAAATTTTGGGGAATAAATATTTAAAAGTTTTACATTATTCTGATTATAACTATAACTGATATAAAAGAATGTGAATGTAAAATTCAATGAAACTTAAGTCAGTATTATTTTTTATTTTGATTCGTTTAATTCTAAATATTCCTCAGACTTTACACCAAATGTTTCATATTGTTGAGGTCAAACCGTCAAAAGCTAAAAAAAGCTTTAAAAATTTACTCAATATTAAAGGAGTAGGGGCAATAAAGCCCTTATTTGGCCCAGATATTACTGCAAATTTAAAAGTTATCATACATATTCTTAAAGGAGTATAGGTTCACGAAGGGTTAAGATTGGCCTTAAGAATTTGATGTTTTTTTAATCGAGCCAGAATACTACTATAGAACATAGAAATAGTCGTGATATAACTATTAATACAAAATAACTTCATTTTTGCTCATCACATTTAAAATGAAGAAGAAATGACTCCTCAAGTATGCATTATTTGTGTTGTAACGTCAGTTTTGGTCAAATTTTCAGTAATTCTTAACAGTTTTTAACATAATTTACTTTGGCCGCCACCCCTGATCCAGAAATTTTTTGTGTTTAGTGATTCAATATCATCATTGGCAATTTTTGGAAATAGAACATTTGGGATCCTAGGTTGTGGCCCAGGCTTTCCTCAAGCTTTTAGGTCTGAAAAATACTGAAAATCATCGTTTTTTTGACGATTTATCCAAAATGTGCTTACTTTGAAGCTTAGAATGTACTCTAATGCAGAGATTTGTTTAATCTAGTTGTAAGGTTTTTGAAATATATCCATTTAAGAACCAAATTATGGCCATTTTGATATCTTATGATAAAGTTGAATTTCAAGGCCAAAAAACAACTTGATATTTAGTTATAATAAAGCTTCTCTTAAATTATTTTGTTGTTTCTTGGCTGTGCATGATGCTTTCATAATGGAAATAACGATGGAAAACTACATAAATTCTGTATTTTTCAAATGTTTTCATGAAAATGGTTCATATAATATTATGACGTAATCGTGACATCATCAGATAAAAAATCTTATGTTTTTCATTTTTATTTCTTGACTCTGTGTATTTCCAAATATTATGTGCCAATTTGAAATAGTTGTCAAACTCCTTTGTTTTGAAAAGTCACCATTAAAATCTGAGGATTTTAAATAAGTCACTGCAGAGATATTGGAGTTACTAGTAAATGATTAAGAATTATGTTTCACATGTACCTTTATAATTGTTTTACCAGAGCCATATATACACATGTGTATATATGTCTCTGGTTTTACAATGATCAACAGTGGCGGATCCAGAACCTTTTGTAAGGGGGGCCCTCTCCAGTCATGCTTCAGTGATTCCCTATATAATCAACCAAATTTTTCCCACAAAAGAGGGGGCCAGGCCCCCCCCCCCCCCCCCCCCCCCCCCCCCCCCCCCCCCCCCACTGGATCCGCCTATGATCCAGAGGTTTCAAGAAGACAAGCCACATTTTGATTTTGATGATTTTCAGATATGATCCTTTTTTCCAATGCCCCTTTTTTTGGTATTTAATTTGTGTGACAGTAAAAACTGTAAAATAGCATCTGCATCATTTTATATCATGTACTAGATAGTTTAATTTGAAGTTTTCTATTCATTATTTTAAAAATATGGAAATAGAAATAGAAACTAAGGGAGACAATGCAATATTCACCCAAAACTAAACAATGGATTCTTCTATAAAGTCAAATAGGAAAGTTCATATTGAGAAATAAGGTAAGGTGAAATTGACGTTTCAGGATGTAAACAAACATGGCTAGTATTGAGAATAACTCCGATGCTAATGGGATAGATGTTTGTACACCTTTAATAGGTGAAAATCAAGGTATTTGTCCACACAAACTTTAACAAATAATTGACCAGTATATAAGTTTAAATGAACACCATGACCCTTTAGCTTCAGGACAGTAAAACTTAAATAAAATTTTAAGTTCATTCACAAGTGTTTGACATGGTTTATGATTATACATTCTGATGTATTGAGGATCTATGTGTGTGTTAGTAAGTGACTTTTGAATCTTTTAAAATATACGCAGTAGACATTTTTAATCTTGAATTTCTGTTAAGAAGATGAAATAAAAAAATTCATTTGCTACACATTTTTATATTATTAAACAGTGTTAAAATTTGACTGTCATTTATGATCATCTAGCCAAAGGGCAATATACATGTAAACTATTGCCACCACTAGATTCCATTCATAGCAGTATGTCCTTCTCAACAGGCGAATGTTTTGACAAGAGAAACCTGCTAGCTAACTAAAATTGACCACACAGTCCTTAAAAATGGTATTGCAGGCTTAGAGAAGAAACCATACTTTTGAACCCTTCAACTGACATTTTCTACATGAATTCCATTCCTGTTTGACAAGTGACTGGGGGCCTTCTAGGCATCCTGGCACAATAATTATGATGGTTCTTGTGTATTATCTGATATTTTCACATTATTTGAGTATCATTTCATTATTTTTGTGTTTACAATTAAATTGTTTTATCCTGTATAATCAATGTGAACACTTTGCTACGTCACGAAATAGAAGTTCCTTCATAATATAAGTTCCAAATGGAAAAAATATTCTGGAATATTATTTCCAACGGAATAAATATTACAGGATATGTTCCTAACGGAATAAATGGTATAGAATATTTGTTCCAACAGGAACATATATTATGACATTGTTTATAACAAAGTTTCCAGTGGAATATGCACACAAATATATGCTGACATGCCCACATAATTGTATACAATTCAAGCATCTGTCATTTTGTATTCCTCATTTGGGATATCAGATAAAAAAAAATTGTTATCATCTAAATGTATTTCTTTAAAAAACATGTACTTTTACTATCTACACATTCACAAAGGAATAAAGGGCTAGATATATATCTGACCTTTAGACACTAGTCCCTATGGTATGTACATTGTATGGTATTGCTAAAAGGAATAGTATGTGTCAAAAAATAAATAAACCAATTAAAAGAATGAATAAAACAGTTGCATGCGCATGTATGTCTAAAGCAACAGATGACTCCACGAACCAATTTAGGATTGCTGTTGGACTAAACAAATTTTAAAGGTTCTTTCTGCCATTGGTGGCACTTTTCTGTTGTAGTTGACAATCTTTTTTAGGTGGAGAAATATTGTAACTATGTTACAACAGAAGGAGACTCTACATTTAGTCTTCTCTTTTAAAGTTTTTTGGAGAATTGTTGACGATGACTCTGACTGTCAACCATGGAACTGATACATATGGTTTCTTGGAACTTTTACATGAAATTAGTGCAAAAATGACTACTTCCAGTTTTCAAAATGTCACTTTTTATTTGATCCTTTTCAAGGTCACATATTGTCCAGCTAATACAAAGACATTTTGGCTTTATCATGTACCAGAACAAAGTTACACAAAATTTCAAGGTCAAAGGTCAGGGATCTCAAATCCAAAGACCTCAGGTCTTTAATATGAGTGTAACATTAACAAAAAAAAGTTCAAAATTTATAACATAGCTTCGACCATTGACCTTGTGCTCAATTCCCTGCTTAAGGACTGAGGACCTCGTATGAAAAACATCCAAGTCTCTCTAACTTTCAGTTTATGTGTTACAACAACATACCACTAAAAAAAAAGGGAAATACCTCTATAACATGTTACCGAACTGCTTTGGTCCAAATTTGATAGATCATCCTTAGAAAGTGTCTAAAAATGTCATTCTTTTTACATGTTTGAAGCATAAGAATATATGATCTAAATTTTCTTAGCTTAAAAAAAAAACTATTGGTCATAATGCCAGTTTAAAACCATACATATCAAGGGGTTTGGCCATACAAAAAGATACTTTTTGATCAATGGTAAATGTAGAATTTTTTTTGTCACCTAAAATATTTGTTTTTTTTTTTTATAGAAAATGAACCTTTCCAAATCCTAGAAGAAGAACATCAACCTGGCACTATGGAACCACGTGATTCAGGATATGGGTATAACCAAGAACCAAACTTTGGAGATTACAATAATGGACACCACAGAAGGGGTGACAGTGGTAGCCAAGTTGTTCCTATGGAGGATTATCCAAGGTATTTAAATTTTCATGACATTAGCAAATCATTTATGATATATATTTGTACTGAATTATTTCAAAGAGATTATTTAGCATGCAATTTAGACATTAATTAGATATCGATAATTTTTCCCTTTATATGAACATACCAAAGGGAGATAATGCACAGTTAAAAGTTTTATGAAGGTTGACAGTTTGTAGTGAACAAGGTTTACATATGTATTATAATTCTCATTTTAACCAGACTTTTACTTTACCTTTATACCTGGATATGAAGAATATGTTCAACCTCTCCTTTTCTTTAATGTTCAAATGTAGAGAATTTCAGAATCTCTGAATATTATTTAAAAATTTGGAGATGTGGTATGATTGCCAATGAGACAACAATCGACCAGAGTTCAAATAATGTTGATATAGGCAACTATTGGTCACAGGTGGATTAATATATTTTTGTGGTTACTAATTTTTGTGGATTGTAGAAAAATTGTTTTTTCATGAATATTTGATTTCATTGTTATGCAAAAGTCTGCATAAAAGCCTATGGAAAATTTTTCCTTCATTAAATATTTTAATTCATGGTTCACCTTTGTCAACAATATCCAAGAAAATTGGTATCCAAAGAATAATGATGAATCCACTTTACTGTATAGTCAGCTATAAAAAGCCCTGACCTGACAAAACGTGAAACAATTCTAAAATAAAAACTAACTGCCTGATTTATGTAACTGCCTATTAACTTGTTTTATTGTCTCTTCTGCAATGAAAGTTGCAGAATTCGAGACCTACAGATTCTTATTTGTGGACAGCATAAACTATTAGTATAAAGCTTTATATTTCAGAGGGTAGATTAGTTTCCATTTGTCATGTGTACCATGTTTTTGACCTCATTTCAGGATTCAGCTACTGCTTAAAAAATCTGTATATTTTTTTTGTCATGTGTATTTCCCACTTATTATGAGTAATAGGATAACTATATTAGGTAAATGTGATCCTTATAAAATTGACATGTCCATCAAATAGGGTTCACCGGACCTCAACCTCATTTCATTGATCAGTAATAAAGGTAGAGTTTTGTGGTCAAGTTCATATTTCAGATACTATGAGCAATAGGTCAAATATGGAATAACTTAAAGGTGTACATATCTATCTGGTAGAATTCATCTGACCTTGACCTCATTTTCATGGTTCATTGGTCAGTGTTAAGTTTTCATGGTCTGTTTCTCAGATACTAAATGAAATATGTCAACTATATTTAGTGTATGGAATGAATGCATGGTGTAAATGTCTCTGGAAGGGTTCATCTGACCTTAATTTTGTTTTGTGGTTAATGTGTCAACATTAAGTTTTGGTAATAAAGTCTTTTTCTCAGATACTATAAGCAATTGGTTATCTGTATTTGGTGTATGGTATGATTGTTAGGTTCACATGTCCCTCATGCAGGGTCCATCTGACCTTGACCTTTTTTACATGGATCATTGATAATGTTAGGTTTATGTGAGTTCATAGTAAAACCTTCACATTAAAGACTCAACATAAAATCAATCAAGATAAGTAAAGCAGGGGAGACAATACAGCGTGTATAATATAGATATAGTTTTAATTTTTCATTGTGTGTTTACAGACATAATACTTCAATTATGAGTTATGATCATGTCCCTGATGGAAGTTTTAGTCAACCTCATACTTTGGTTGTCCGTAATCGTAAAAAGTCTGTCAAGTTGGAGCAGATATTTGATAAGTTAGATCAACTCGATCAACTAGATGGTGATGATGACTCTTATTTCCAACGAACTAAATCCAAAAGACGTGAAAGATCCAAGACTTTAAAGGAAAGAAAATTGGAGAGAAATGCTACACAGAAAGATTCATTAAAAACTACAAAGACTCTTGGTGAAAGATATTCTGAAATGAAAAACAATGATGGTGTCACTGCCAGAAATTTGGCCACCCTGATGAGGTAAATATTTTAGTTATACATGTCATTTGGATATAAGGCTGCATATTGCAATATATATTCTGATCACATTGATGTTTGGAAAATTTATTTGACCAATCATAATTTTGGTTATAAATGAAAGTAAAAACATTCTTTTTGTCGGAATTTAAGTTTTCAACTTTAAATTCTTATTTACAATGCACTATTCAATGTTACAAATATTTGTTATTTATCTACATACTGATTAACAAATCCTGATTCTCTACAATTCTGATTAAATTCTATAGAATAAAAAATGTCACATTTGAGTTGATAGAATGCTTTTGCATCTTTCAGCATGCACCTGTATAATATTTGCAACATATACAATGATATGTTTGAGGTGTGATAGAAGGCTTTCATATCACAAAGCATTGCATGCTATGACATTTGTCACATTGTACAATGTACTGTATTATAAATTTATATTGATATAATTGACTAATGCATTTGATCCTCCAGTCCTCTAGTATAGATCTCTTGATAATAATTTACAAAAGACACTATGAAACTTAGCCTGAGTTTTAACCTCAGTGCACCTAGGAGATTCACCATTTTAAGAGGAATTAGAGATTTTTATACTTAAGATGAACTTTCCCACACTTAAATTCTTCTGACTTTTTAAAAGTGTACAGTAAGTGATTCTTAAAGCTGTGCATAAGAAGTATTAAAAGGGTACTTGAAAAAGTACCAATGGTATGATGTTGAGATTGCAGTGCAGCTCATTTTATTTTAAAGGAATATGTGTAATGTCAGTTTTATACAACAAAACTGCTTTATTCATTTTTTTTTTTATTCATTTTTATACGACCGCAAAAAAATTTCAACCGCAAAAAAAATTTGCGGTCGTATATTGGTATGACGTTGGCGTCGTCGTCCGAAGACACATTAGTTTTCCCATTCTAACTTTAGTTTAAGCGAATGGATCTCTATGAAATTTTACCATAAGGTTCAATACCACAAAAGGAAGGTTGGGATTGATTTTGGGGGTTATGATACCAACAGTTAAGGAATTAGGGGCCAAAAATAAGCATTTTTGTAACTTCCAGACATAACTTGTGTGTTAGTGTATGGATCTCTCTGACATTATATCACAAGTTTCCATATCTCAAAGGGAATGCTGGGATTGATTTTGGGAGTAATTGTCTCAAAATTTTAGGAATAAGTAGCCAAAAAAGGGGCAAAAAACAAGCATTTTTCTAGTTTCATGATAATAACTTGTGTGTAAGTGTATGGATCTTTCTGAAATTGTACTACAAGGTTCCATATCAGGTTCCATATCACAAAGGGAAAGCTGGAATTGAGTTTGGGTGTAATTGCCCAAAACGTTTAGAAATAAGGGGCCAAAAAGGGACCAAAAATAAGCATTCTTCTAGTTTCCAGACAATAACTTGTGTTCAAGTGTATTGATCTCTCTGAAATTGTACAGCAACCTACCATACCACGAAGGGAAGGCTGGGATTGATTTTGGGGGTAATTCCTCAAAATTTTAGGAATTAGGGGCCAAAAAGGGGCAAAAAACAAACATTTCTCTAGTTTCAGGACAATAACTTGTGTGTAAGTGTACGGATTTTTATGAAATTGTACTACAAGGTTCCATATCACAAAGGGAAAGCTGGGTTTGAGTTTGGGGGTAATTGCCTTTAACGTTTAGGAATTTGGGGCCTCAAAGGGGCTAAAAACAAGCATTTTTCTAGTTTCCAGACAATAACTTGTGTTCAAGTGTATGGATCTCTCTGAAATTATACTGCAAGGTACCATACCACAAAGGGAAGGTTGGGATTGAGTTTTGGGGTGATGAATCATAAGGGGTTCAAAAAATTTGGGGGAGGGATTTTTTTTTCCTTTTTTTTCTTTAAAATTTTCCTTTTTAAATTGGTTATTTTTGATTTATATATAAAAGCAAATAATAATGATATGGTTTGAATAGGTAAATTAAATTTTTTTAAGTTCTTAGACCACATTCATTCTGTGTCAGAAACCTATGCTGTGTCAAATATTTAATCACAATCCAAATTCAGTGCTGTATCAAGCTTGAATGTTGTGTCCATACTTGCCCCAACTGTTCAGGGTTCGACCTCTGCGGTTGTATCAAGCTGCGCCCAGCGGAGCATTTTATTAAAGATATTACTGTATTATTTATTATATAATGACAAACAAATAAAAAGTTTGTTTATTTTGTATCAGGAAAGGTGTTTTTTTTTTCTTTATCATTAAGAAATAATTCCGTCCCTTATATAAAGTGACATTTTCATAAGAATGTTCATTGGCTGAATTTTTTTTAAATGTTCAACAAGGTACAAATTTCTATATGTTTATATTCAGACTTTGGCAATACCATGAAATCAAATATCCACAAAATGCAATTTTTCCTTAATCCACAAAAAAAGATGAATCCGCAGTAAACCATAGTGTCATAACTTCATTTATATCTTAATAAATTGTACATTACCTGTTTATTGATTATTTGTATTATCTGAAATATGGGAAAATTAAGGAAATGTTGGATAACTTCAGCAATAGGAAATATTGTATAGTTTTGACAAATCACTGTTTCCTTGTAGTTTTAAGAGGAAGAAATTAGTAATCCAATAAATAATTATCTATACTTTATAGTTATTGTCATATTCTAAGATCTATTTATCTTATTTTTTATGTTTGTAAATTTATATTCCCCTTTGCTGTATTGCAAAATAATAAGAACAAAGTTTCTTATAACCAGGGGCATTGTAATGTACAGACATATTTAGTTCAAACAGAAGAAATATTTGTTTGATGAACATTTCTGTCAACCTTAAATTTAAATCAAAGTACTGAAGTACTGAACATCGGATGACCACAAGTTCTTGAGGATGGTCAAAAGCACTTGTCTCAGAAAAAAAACAACATATCTCTTTACCTGAAACTGAGGTTAATGTACAGAGATATATTTTTTTCTAGACAAGTGCGTGCGAGTATGATGAATAAATGACAGGAAATTCAACTTCACCGTAATAACTATTATATTGTAGTGATACAAATCAGTATACACTGATTTGTTGTTATATATTATATTAAAATAACAGTTACATATATATATGATTTGCATCCGTTTGTATATCATTCTATTCTACTGTTCTAATAATAGTGCAATGCAAGTGCATGGTGGACACTTTTCTGTAAAAATTCGATTTTTCTAAGATTGGATACGAGTAGGCATTCATATTTTCCCGCAAAAACAATTACAGAGTTACCGGTCCTGTCGCAAAACGTTCTTTGAGATATTCTTCCGCATGCTTTAACACAATTTTTCGGTACGTGTGCATTGATATTATCAATGATTTTTTACTTATATATATATATCTAACTACAAAACATTTTCACATTATTAATTTATGTTGTAAACAAAAATATTTTTATCAGTATTCATTGAAGAGATGTATTTATATCAAATGACAAGGAATGTTATTTTGCACTCGTTTATGTGCGCATATTTATCATGTTTATAGATCGGTTACAAACCCAAAACTAATTTACATAATGGAAATCTAGGCGATAGCAATACATCGATAATGACCTCAAGGTCATCGCGATGTAAAAAACAACAAAAATATTAGCACTAAGTGAGTTATAGGATTCTTAGGACAGTCCTGAAAAAAAATGTTTTACAATATGCATGGATAATTGCATGAGTGATTAGTTATTGTCTGAGGAAAAACTTTGTGAGCAGATCTGTCACAATGGTTTGTGAATTAGTATAGCTTTGATTGTATATTGCATGTTTGTATATGATTTCCCCTAACAGTCTGAATGTTAACTGAAGTACATGAGAAACCTGTTGTGTAGTAAGTTGCTGTTTGTATAACAGTATGTTAAAAATATCACTTGCAGATAATTATCACTGCAAGTTAGTTATCAGATTCTTAGCACAGTCCTTGGAAAAAAAATTTTACAAAATGCATGGATAATTGCATGGGAGTTGAATTTTTGTTGTATTAGGCAAACTTTGGGAGCAGATGAGTAGCATTGGTTTGTAATGTTGTATAGCTTGAATTGTATATTGCATGTTTGTATATGAATGCCCTATGTATTAACAGGCAGGATCATAGCGAGTGAGTATTGTGATAATGAATTAACAAATTAATTATAGACATGCTTTGATCATAGCTACATTACAGGTTTTACAAAATGAATCAAATTCATTGGGCATGAATTTCATTTCATTGTGCTACAGTTCTTTCTTCAAGTTTGAATCTAAATTTGAGGCACCAAATCTAAAACATTTCAAAACCAATTTTTAATTTCCCTTAAAATAGTTCAGTAAAGAACAGTCTGAATGTTTTAACTATTATGTACATGTGAAACCTGTTGTGTAGTAAGTTGCTGTATAACAGTATGAACGTAGATTATTTAGGTTCCTGCTTAATGAGCTTATTTGCATGAATTTGCATGGAACATGCTTCATTATGATTTTTCTTGCATTTTTGTTTCTCAAAATATGTTCCTTATATATACAGAGTGATGAGTCATCATCTATTTGATTCCAATAGTTTTAAGTGCTATATAGAATTTTTTGTTTCAGATGCATCTTGCTGGAAAATAGGGTGGATAAATCCATTTGAAATAGTAAACATATTCAATTATGAATAACATATTATAGTGCAAATGTGTTTTTTAACAACAAAGTACAAAGTGTCTTTGATATAAACATTTTCATGCAAACAAACATTCTTAACTCTTTTTTTCTCTCCAAATTTGTGGCCATGTTCATGAAGCATAATATATATTTATACTTTTTCAATATTACTGGAAAAAATATGTATCATATGAAAATTGTAAGTAAAGGATAAAGATAAAAAGTAAAATATGAAAAAAAAACAATATGGCATCAAGTAAAGTAGTAGTTTCAGTTCACAGACTTTCAATACCTAAATTAATATATACGATTATTGATATGAATCACTCATGCATAATAAATAGATCAAAGTAAACTGGTAATATTGGTAATCATTTTTATTTTGGTGTAGATTATTTGTATTCTTTACGCCCATCTGGTAGAGTTACGTTTTTTTTTATGGTTGTTGTATCAGTTTCCAGTTTATATTGATACCATTTTAACTACAATGTATTTTTCTCAATATCTATAGAATTGTAATTGTAAGTTTTGATATAAACCTTGTATTCATGGTTCATGTTTTTACATTAGGATCAAGTTGAAATAAGCATCCTACACATTTTTAGAATACCAATTTACCGTACTGAAATACAAGTGGCTACAGAAACACAAACTTTTTTGGGTTTCCATGCCTGTCGATTTGAGATGCATAAGAAATATAGTTAGTTAATGCCTATTTTGATGAATAAAAGGGATAAAAAATAAACCCATTTATTTTAAGTACCCTATGAAATACTTGTTTATTAAAGTTTTCATATGTATCTTAAATATCTGGTCTGTATAATCATCCTTATATTCATGTTTAATTGTTTTAAGTGTTGTGTTAGAACTAATAGATATGTTGTCTTTTAAATAATTGCAATTTTCCCTGGTTTCAGTGTGTTGTATGACCTTGACCTCTCTGACTTTCAGCATATCTTTCATAATCTCGTATTTAGATAAGCCATTTCTGTGATTCAATTCTTTTTAACATACAAGTCTACCTAAAAAATAACAGCTTAAAATACGTGTTATATTCAACAGAATTGAGTGACATTATCAAAAATATGAGATGATATGTTACATTAAATTCCAAATGTGAGTTTCGGAATATTTAAGGTGGATCATCACTTTGTATTTCCTCAGATAGAATTTTCTTATACTTTTTTGCCAAAAGATATATTTTATCATGCTTTTTTCAAAAATGAAATAAAAAGTATGGGTCTCCAGTCTATTTTCAAGCTACAAGTTGGGCAATTTTGCATGGATTATTCATGAAAAAACACTTAAAGAAAACCAATAAAATATATGTTATATTTTAAAACAGTCTAAAAATTCACTAAAGCACTTATTTTTCTTACAGTCTAACAGATTAATTTCCAATCTGTCGCAAAACTTGCAGATTTAAGCATAGAACTAGACTGATCATGCCAATTGTGTACTGCTATTTTACAATCCAAGATGGCAGTATAGAGTTAATTTACCTTAAATGAATTTGAATAACCATAATTGAAAAGTCTCATTAAAACATTAGTTAACATTTTTATGTAAGGTCATTTTTTGTTATTGATTAAAATGCTTAAATTTTTAATTCCCACTGTAAAATGAATGTAATCTTCACCATTCAGGGCTCACAAGCAGTTTGATAGGAATATACTATTACATTTGCTATGCCTTTCTCTTCTAGAGTATGACAAATTATGTGAATTTTCTCAATAATTTTGAAACATTATCAGGATCATTTGGCATGTATGAATAACCTTGATACCATTAGAATGGTTATTTGATTGATTGATTGTTGGTTGCTTTATGTCCAGTGGTGGTTATTTGAAAGTGAGAATCCATCATACTATTTCAGACAGAAGAATATGTTGTAATATATATGTATATTTGCTAGTTACACAAATTTGACGATCTAACATTGTTGGGCTAAATTTTAGATAAATTATATATATACAAAGATATAATATATAAAATATAAGTAAAAAGTTGATGCAGATATTTTTATATTTTTTTTTGTTTTCAGAGATTCAACAATGAGGAAAATGAACAAATTAAGACATGGCAATGGATCTAAGGTATGTAAATATTTATAATAATGGATACTATAAATTCAAAAATGTTTTAAATTTTTTCATTATTGCGAAAATTGCAATATCCATTTAGATATATTTGATATTCTGTAAAGGATTATGCATAAATTTGACTAATAGGAAATATCGGGTATGTTTCAATGAGAGAGCAACCAAATGACACAAAATAAAACCAAAGACATTTAGATATTAACATACAGTCTTAAACAATAGACATTTAGATATCAACATACAGTCTTAAACAATAGACATTTAGATATCAACATACAGTCTTAAACAATAGACATTTAGATATCAACATACAGTCTTTAACCAAAGACATTTAGATATCAACATACAGTCTTAAACAATAGACATTTAGATATCAACATACAGTCTTAAACAATAGACAAGTTTGTATACAATATGTCAAGACTACCAAAGTTGGTTTTATTGTACTTTTGGAGTGGTGTCTCATTTACATTTACCCCTTTCAAAAGTCTAGAATACAATCCATACAGGGAACTGTAATTGTAGTTGGTTTCATCATGTGATTCAAGAAAATAAAAAAAATATTATTGTAGTTTATGATATAAAAAATTGAAAAATAATCATTGAGTTTGTTGTTTAAAGCTACTTCAGTGACAATGGCTATATTATGGTAGCTAGTTTTTATTGGTGGAGGAAGCTGAAGTGCCTCTCCATAAGCTGGGTTCAAACAGTTTACAGTCTAGTGATCACTGTTGATGAACTACTAAGACCTATTGGTATTGGATGTCCCCTTTAGTTTGTGCTTTCACACTGTTAGCATGTGAAAAATCAGCAGATATTATTATGGTTTCAGCACTGTTAGCATGTGAAAAATCAGCAGATATTATTATGGTTTCACACTGTTAGCATGTGAAAAATCAGCAGATATTATTATGGTTTCAGCACTGTTAGCATGTGAAAAATCAGCAGATATTATTATGGTTTCACACTGTTAGCATGTGAAAAATCAGCAGATATTATTATGGTTTCAGCACTGTTAGCATGTGTAAAATCAGCAGATATTATTATGGTTTCACACTGTTAGCATGTGTAAAATCAGCAGATATTATTATGGTTTCACACTGTTAGCATGTGTAAAATCAGCAGATATTATTATGGTTTCACACTGTTAGCATGTGTAAAATCAGCAGATATTATTATGGTTTCAGCACTGTTAGCATGTGAAAAATCAGCAGATATTATTATGGTTTCACACTGTTAGCATGTGTAAAATCAGCAGATATTATTATGGTTTCAGCACTGTTAGCATGTGAAAAATCAGCAGATATTATTATGGTTTCAGCACTGTTAGCATGTGAAAAATCAGCAGATATTATTATGGTTTCAGCACTGTTAGCATGTGAAAAATCAGCAGATATTATTATGGTTTCAGCACTGTTAGCATGTGAAAAATCAGCAGATATTATTATGGTTTCAGCACTGTTAGCATGTGAAAAATCAGCAGATATTATTATGGTTTCAGCACTGTTAGCATGTGAAAAATCAGCAGATATTATTATGGTTTCAGCACTGTTAGCATGTGAAAAATCAGCAGATATTATTATGGTTTCAGCACTGTTAGCATGTGAAAAATCAGCAGATATTATTATGGTTTCAGCACTGTTAGCATGTGAAAAATCAGCAGATATTATTATGGTTTCAGCACTGTTAGCATGTGTAAAATCAGCAGATATTATTATGGTTTCAGCACTGTTAGCATGTGAAAAATCAGCAGATATTATTATGGTTTCAGCACTGTTAGCATGTGAAAAATCAGCAGATATTATTATGGTTTCAGCACTGTTAGCATGTGAAAAATCAGCAGATATTATTATGGTTTCAGCACTGTTAGCATGTGAAAAATCAGCAGATATTATTATGGTTTCAGCACTGTTAGCATGTGTAAAATCAGCAGATATTATTATGGTTTCAGCACTGTTAGCATGTGAAAAATCAGCAGATATTATTATGGTTTCAGCACTGTTAGCATGTGAAAAATCAGCAGATTTCATTAGCAGAATACTGGGCTTCCATGTCATTGTCATATATATTGGTTGAAAAATATGTGTACTGTGGATTTTATTGATTTTCGAGGATATCAATTTTCATGGATTGAGCAAAAATTGTATTTTCATGGATATTAGATTTTCGTGGATGTGCCAAAGTCTATAAAAATTCTACTTTGATGAACATTGAAATACATGGTTCACCCACAAAATCCACGAAAATTGTTATCCCACAAAAATGATGAATTCCATCTACTGTATAAGAAATTATTTTTTCTTGCCACCCTGTGTGTGTTTATCTAATAAATGAACTGTTTTTTTTTAATAAATTACAGACATGGAAAAATGTGAAGAGATCTTACAATGAATTTTCACACACAATCTCACTATGGTACAGTACTTTTAAAAAAATTGAAGGTAAATAATTATAAAATATGTCATAAACATTATGTGATTTGAGAAAGACAATTAGAGGGAATGCTAGCAGTGCATAGAAAATTGTAGACTTTTATGTTTTAGGCCAAGAGCAAATCAAAACTGTTATACAATTGTTATAAATTCATTGTAGTTATATAGTCATGGCAAACGAAAAACTTATACATGTGTAAATCTGTTTCATTATGCCAATAGTATAAATTCCTTCTCTGGTGAAATAGATCTGTAAATGTTGATTAAATTTTTATCTGAGCATAGTTTTAGTACATTTAATTGGAATTATAGATGATATAGGTTTTTTTTTACAGACTTCATTTATGTGTTAACTCAACTTATCACTCATTTAACCTTTAGTCTGTAAGTGAGTCTGAAGATATCAGAGAAGGCAGGTTTCATTGAATGAAAGCTTAAAACAAAGTATGTTTTAGTTTAATACAATATTTGACAATATTTCTGATATGTTTCTCCACTTGTGGGTTTTTTTGTTGTTTTTTTTTGTGGTGGTTTGCTGTCTCAATGATGTTTGATTCACCTTTCTATATTTTTTTGGGCAGATATGAAACAGTTGTATTGTGAACAGAACTATCTTATTTCTTTGTTTTTTGTATGTGAATTTTATGTTAGGTTGCTGCCTAAATGATGTAAATTCTCATTTCCATATTTTTTCCAGGTGAATATGGAACTGCAGTGATGACATATTTCAAATTTCTTAAATGGCTGCTGAGGTTAAATCTATATACAATGTTAATAACATTTTGTGTGATAACCATACCATTTCTAGTATTAGGACCCTCATCTTATGAAGACTCTGTAAGATCTGTTAACAATAGCCAGGATTCTATTGACTGTACGGCAGAATATATAAATTACATGGATAATTTCACCAGTCAGGAGTCAGCAGGAGAAATGGCTATTGATTTTCTTCAAGGGACTGTAAGTATCTGAAAGAAAATAACAAGTTCTTTCTTTAAAAAAAAAGAAAAGCAATACGTGAACCCGAGACCTCTGACTGGTCACCATAGAATTGTTGCTGAATTTTTGTTTGCTTTTGATTTGAAATAATTGACTAGTGAATAGAATAAGATAATGATGATGTTAAAACACTATGTAATTGTGTGTAGATTCTTGCACAAGTCATTTGAAAGCAATGTTGGATAGTTGTGAATAGAAAAGTGTATATATACAGCTACTATTTAAATTTACATTTTAAGGCTTGACTATTTTATTTATTACTTGGGAGTGTGCATCATTTTTTCATAGTCCTATTGCAAATCCCAGTTTCTGCAAACCGGATGTTTAATGCAAAATGCACAAATCAATCGCAATATAAATTTAAGCACTCAGTTTGCTTTATAATCTGGATGCATTTATTTTATCTATCATATATTCATATTTTGTTTCTTGGATGCCTTCAATTGTTCTTATACTGAACTCGTTATTGAAGCTGTCTGTACTTATGGTAGATGTTGTATAGATAAATTAAGAGTCCAATTTCCATGTGAAGCCAAACCCTGTGGCATGCAATTTATAAGAAGCTTACATATATATTTTTTTGAGAGTAACACACCAGCTTCATTTGGGACCTCTTATATACTGACAATTATTTTGGTCTCATAAAACAGTCAAGGGTGTAACTTGAATAAGTTATTAGAGAAAAATAACATACATGTGTTATTAGGATACTTTCTCTTAATCTGTAGTAACATATGTTTGTTATCAGTTAAATGTACCATAAATTTTTTTATTTCCAGTGGGCACTTGGGAATTCTTGAAACTTGCGCAGTAACTTAATACATAACCTTGAAAACTAATTTTCCAATTCAATTAATACATTTTTGATCAACCATGGTAAATCAATGAGACAAGGCTTTTAAGTGATAACTAAGCTGTAATAACAAGGCTATGTTACTACAGGCATTTAACTTAATACATGAGACACTTGGGAATGACTAGGAAGCTTGTGCAGAACCTCATTACATGCTCTTATCATTATTTATTACAATAAATTAGAATACATTGTGATATATGTAGGAGAAAAGACTTTGAAGAGATGTAGAGAAGCTGTAATAACACCCTTTAGTTATTACAGGCATATGTTTTCTGTAATAACATGGGTGTGTTATGCATGATTGGCAAACTATGGGCTGTTATATCTTTCTAAAGTTTAATATACATAAAGACAATTATAATATCAATAGAACTAGTACACAATTTAACAAAATAAAGGATGTATAATGCCCCTTTAAAACATGTAACATACATATGTTATCACAGATTTTTGATTTTTTAGCCCTCAATAACAAATGTATGTTATTTTTCTAAAATAATTATTTAAGTTAGACCCTTGACTGTAAAACATCTCAGATTTTAAGGATTTCCTGAAGTTACTTAAATTAATCCAGATATTCTACAGGCAAACTTGGTTTTGAAGAATATCTTATTTTCTGAAGTTTTATGATTACTTGAACATACTCACAAAAGAACCAATTTATATAAAAAGATATGTAGATATAAAATGATACGCAAGCCGATAGTGTGTTTTGTGAACAGGATGATATATAATGTAAATGAACTAAGACGTTAGGATAGCTTGTCAACACAATGAATACAATTTTCAAAATACCATATTGCAAAGATTTAGATGCTATAAGGTTGAACTATTGAAAACAAACAAAAAAGAATTTAAATTTAATAATTAACATACATTCCTGTCAATGAATCGTTTCCGAAAATTTAGAACATAATATCAATAAACACAAACATCAAGTATTTACTGATGGACATTTTATTTATCAAATCAATCTCTTCTTAAAGTATAACTTTCCACTATATGAATATATTGCTATACAAAATATAAGCAGAGATTTATAAATCCATACTAAACTGTTTAAAATAATTAACGTAGTAATTAAATTTTTTAATGATTATTGTAAAATATTGGTTACGTTTTTTTTTTTGTGAGATGCAAGGATTTAAAATCCTTGTGAATTGAAACCATGCAAGTATTTTTTTCATTCACTACCATTTAAAATTTAGATACTGACTTATGTATACGCATCCCTGCTCAATGGTTCTCATATGTTGCATATAATTTTCATAAATGTATTCACTGTTCAAACCTGTGGGACATAATACACCTATATGTAACATTTTTAATTATATTCTATTAAGGATAAATTTAGTCTTAGTTTAAACTTGATAATTTTACTGAATATTCTCTTGGTCTGGTAGTCTATATTAATAAAATTAAATACTTTTAACAGAAAAATCCTTTTGTTTAATTATCTTTCAGCTTTCTGACCACTGTGTTTCTGACCTTAGATAAATATTTATAACAGAAATATTGTTTTGTTAATTTTCTGCATGCTTCTCGACATTTTCCCAGGCTATGGTTAAAATACAAAATAAACGTTTAGAAATAATCAGTTTATTCTGGGACATTATATATTAATAAACTATTCCCAGGTTTATTATCACAATCCACAGCAGCACGCTGTATTAAATACTACACACACAACCTGTACCGGGACCGTCTCAAAGTATGAATTATATAATTGCGTTATCATTATTCTTGATATTTAATAATTAAAATTATTAAAAACACATATGTTTTGTCAAAAGGCAAATAGGTTCTAACATATAAATAATTTTTAGTCCCCTACCGACGAAGTCGAAGGGGACTTTCGGTTTGCACTCTGTCCATCTATTCGTCTGTCCGTCTGTCCATCTGTCCGTCTGTCCATCCATCAGTCCGGCAAATCAGCTTTCGACACTTTTTTTCTTCTTTCTTGAAGAGATTGATTTGATATTTGGTATATAGTTTTATCATGACAAGTTATAGATCAAGTTCGAATTTTGTTCCAGTCTGATGATTTAGTCCAGAGTTATGGACCATAACTCTGGACCATATCTAATGTTGGAGTACTATCTTAAACCATATTTCTGTACAAAGGGAGATAACTCATTTTTTAAAAGACATTCTTTGTTAAATTATTTGAAGAATTTTTTGACAGGTTTGTTTGTTATTTAGTATAAACTAATTTTCTGAATGCTACAATGTATATATATCAAAAAAAATTATGAAGAGAAATCCTTTAATTAGATAATAATCTATTTGTATTAATGTATATATTTCAATACATTACATTGTGTAGATAAAAGTTGTTGACATTTTATAGATAAGTTACAAATCTATATTAGTTTGTGACAAATGAAAGAAAAAAATATTTGGAACTATTAATTATATCTGATTATAATTTGAAATAGATATACACTGTATTACATCATATCTAATTCTAGAGAACTATTAATCATATCTAATGTTTTTTTCATCATGCTTATAAGATATTGATTGATAATTGGTATATAGTTTTATCATGACAAGTTACAGATCAAGTTCAAATTTTTGTTTCGGTCTCATAATTTTGTGCAGAGTTATGGTCCTTGGACTTGAAAAATTCACTCATATAATCAGTTTTCAACACTGTTTTTAGTCATGCTTGAAGATATTGACATGATATTTACTTTTTGTTTACACCATGACAAGTTATAGAACAAGTTAGCATTTTGTTCCAGTATAATGAATTTTTACCCGGTAGGGGTCTATGTATTGCCATGCAATACTATCAGAATGCTTGTTTTTACTACAACCTAGTCTATTTTTTTACCATCCGATCTACAAATGAACTTTGATTGTTGAAATATACAATGTCACGTGGTAGCCTATCAATAGAGGGACCGTATCAAAGACATAGAAAACTACCTGTATAAATGATTTAAAAATTTTCGAGAGGTTCCGAGAATCTTGTTTCCAGAGATATTTGAATGGCCCATAGAAGCTACCAAAACTCAGTAAAAATATCTGGTACTGTAAATTCATAAATGTTTGCGCTGTTTTTATTATTGCAAAAATTGTGACATGATTGGATATCGCAAAAATAGAAACTTTCATTTTTAATTTAGATAGCTGTATTTGTATGCAACATTTCCTGAAACCGCAGTAATTAATCTCACATTTTTATGCATTTTTCAACAATTGTGTGATAAATGCATGCAGTAATTTTTGACTTTACAGTATCCAATTCACATAGTCATATGTACACCTTTCTTTTAAAATTTTATATGTAAACAAACATATCTGGTTGTATCCTTCACTTCATTTGCATAACATTAAATATGATTCTGTAATTGACTGTAAATTTTCATTTCTTAATTGAAATAACATTGTGAGTATATCCCCTAACATTAAACTCAATAAAGATGTTCAGAATCAGGAACAAAAATGACCTAACTTTAACATTCTGAACAGGTTGGAAATCGCCAAATTCAAACTCAATGAAAATAAACTTTTTTACGTTACATGAATTTTTAATCCACTTTTAAATTTTCAATTGGATTTTTAAGATATTGTTAGTTTTAGAAGTGTGATTTTCAAGTCATTATATCTTTTTATTATTTCAGGGCTGGATGGAGAGAACTATATTGTTTTATGGTGTATATTACAACAAGACATATTATAGTGTTGTAGAAAAGAAAGAGATAACATATAACATGTCATTAGCCTATTTACTGGCCGTCGGCTGTAGTTTTATTATCTGTTTCATTCTAATTGTCAAAAAGTAAGTATATTATATAAAGGTAATTAGCAAGAACATGAAGCAGCATACATGAAATTAAATACAGTTAACTCTCGGTGTCTCGAACTCGGTTGACTATAAATTTCAGTTGAGTCGAAATTTTCCCGTGGTCCCGAACTTCGTTCCATACAAAAATATGGATTTCGACTCCTGATGAGTCGAAATCAGATGAGTTGAAATTTTGGTTGTGTCAAACCAAAGTTAAGGTCCCAGGGTTAACAAATGCATATAAATTGCATTCGTTTTGTCGAAGTAATACACATATGTCAAAACATGACCTCAGGGATTTAAATGGATTGACCAGTTTATCTGATACCACATCTGTAATTAAATTTCTGGACATTGACAACTGTTTTGATTTATGACATTCTTTTCCCAAGAATGTTTACCTAAGATTTTCCTTGATCACTTTAATTAGCTTATGAACAGTTATTTAAAAAGTTTTATAATTAATTAACCGTAATTATACATTAATGAGATTGGTCCTGCATAAAGTGCGCAACTCAAAACTGAACATCAACGCCTTTTAGTCTTTTGTAATCAAAATAAAAGAAAGTGAAAAGAAATCTAAATTTTCTAAAATCTGAGAAATTATTTACTTGTGTTATTAAAATGTGTGTTGTTTTCTTTTGACTTGCCTTTGAATCAATGTAAAAAAATATTCTCTCGGCCGAAAACTACCGGTAAAAGAAACAACAAAGGGACAAACAAACCAACATAATTTTATTATAATTATAAAGGACAATAAAAAGCTACATCAATCTCAGACCAGAATATCAATCCCGACCCATATATATGGATTTATTTTAGCCTTACTAAATTGAGCAAGAGTTGTGTCCCTTTGTCTGTCAAACTTCCGGTATTTGAGTCGAACTATGGGTATCTCAAAATATTTCTTTGGTCTGACTGACTTCGAGATAATGAGAGTCAACTGTAGTTTATCTGATTTTGAAATATTTTCATACACAATAAGAATAAAAAACAAACAAAAAAAAGTATAAGAATAACAAAACTAGATTTTGTCACTCACCTATGGCTAAGTGCATCTTCAACAGTTTCCACTCTCCAACATCGTAGCCTAGAATATTATGCATGACTTAAATCTCTTGTTTGTTAATCATGTCTTGCTGATGATCATTTTACTGTTTTCAATTTCTCTCTATCCACTATAGTTTTTTCCCAGTATAAAAAAAGGGTAAAAAATCATTATTTAAAGGCAATAACTCTTATAAGGAATCGACTGACAATTTCAGCTATGTTCACCAATTTGTAGATCATGTCTTGCTGATAATTTTTGCTGGTTACAGTTTTTCTTTATCTGCCAAAGTTTATTAAAAAATACAAAATTTGGTAAAAATCACCATTAAAGAGCAATAAGGCCTATAACGAGTTGACTCAAAATTTCTGCCATCTTGACATATTGTAGATCTTATCCTGCTGAAATTTTTTTCTTATTTAAAGTATCTATCTATTATAGTTTTCAATCAGGTAACTGACCTTGTAGATCAATTTACCAACCTTACAGTAACAATTTTTAACAAAAAAAAACAAAGAGGTAAAATACAATGGGGCAAGAAGTGAGGAGGGGCACATGTTTCTGCTGTTAATTACGTCATGGACTAGCATGCTATAATCAAGCTTAATGTCAGTTTACGACAAAGCAGAGTCTATTTTTACATGGCATTAACTTTCCCTTCTCCTGATTAGAGTTGTACAATTATCCAATAAGTTTTAAATGTCCATCCATCAAGTTAGATTTTCAAAGGTAAAGTTAAGATGATTTTGAGTTGATTGTCCATTACTGTCTCGTTGATTTACCGTGGATATACCATGGATTCATTATTTTTCGTGGAGTACCAACTTTTTCTGGTATAGGTAAACCCTGAATTTAAATTTTCACCAAAATATATATTTTCTATAGGCTTGTAAGCAAACTTTGGCACAACCTTGAAATCAAATGTCCACTAAAATACATTTTTTCCTCCATCCATGAAAATAAATGAATCCACAGTAGACTGAACATCACTTTTGATTTAAATCCTCCTCCAATAGTTGAATACCATTGTCCTTTTTATTATTTTCAGTGCATCTAAAAGTGCTAAAGTATCACTAGGGTTGGAATCATCAGTGGCTAAATATACAAATAAAGTGTTTGCAGCCTGGGATTATTGTATTAATAATCAGAAAAATGCTAAAGTTAAATCAGTTGGCATTAAATTTGAAATAACTGTAAGTAATTTGTTAACACATTAGGACACTTTTAAAATTCTCATAACTTTAAATTAACATATTGGTTGGTATTTTGTTTAATGAAAATAAAATTGAAGCACATTCATCAAGAGGAAAATTTTCTTCAAAAACTATATTTTTTTCAGGAATGTTATTGAATTTCCATTTATTTTTTACCAATATAACTTGTATCATTATTGGTAGTAAATTTTGTCCCTACATCTGTTACCTTGTGAACTACCATGAAGAAAGCAGGAAATGATATTAACATGTTAATTTCCTCAATATGCATGTAATGTTTGCTGCTGGACATTAGATAGCCATCAATTAATTATTGAGTGGTAAGAAAAGATTAAGCATACAGAAAGCTGAAACATTTGAGTTTTTTATGACCCAGACCAGATACCAGTATAACTACTGACATTAATTACATTTGTTATTAAATATAGGCAGACTTAAAAGAACAGACAAGAACTGAACTTTGGAACTTGAAGAAATTTGGTGACAGATGTGCAATATACTTCAAGAGAGTTGTCATAAATCTGCTTGTCATAATATTACTGGGAGGCTCCCTAGCATTGATAGCTTATACAGCTCAACAGATGATTGAGGTATTACATATAGGTACCAGTTAGGCATAATATTACTGGGAGGCTCCTTGGCATTGATAGCTTAGGCTGCCTACCGTTGCTAGCTTATTTCAGCTCAACTGATTATATGAATAATCTGTTTACTTTACTGGATTGTCAAAAATTCAGTTTTTTTTTACTATTGTTTAAAAGCAGACCTGGGGTTATTAAAAATGTAATTGTAATTAGCTGTAATTAATTACAATTTTGAAAGTAATTTAATGTAATGTGTAATTGAGCATATTTTCAATTACATGTAATTGAAAGTAATGAATTACATTGACTTTTTGCCATGTAATTATGAATTACTTTTCAATTACTTTGAATTACATTTTGGTACTTTGATTTTTTATAATACTTTTCAAACAATTTTCATGATGAAAAAAATATAAAATTCCTTGATATTTAATTAATCATTATAGGATGTATAATAATATTTTTTTGTATTTAATTCATTAATTTTTTCACATGTTAACATAAAAATCTCAAAAATTAAAAACAATACCAATTCATTTACATACAATTTGTAAATATGTTGTTCTAACAATTAACAATAATCTTAGCTTCAGGTTATTCCTTTCACTTAACTAATTATGAAGTACAAGTTTGCCACAGGCATTTTTTTTTTAACCATAATATGTTCATGTTAAAATCTGTACAAATGGATATTATAAGTTATCTACGTTCATATCCGTAGATATGGATATTTTAACACCCTGAAGTATCCAAGTACACCCTGAGGCGCAGCCGAAGGGTGTATAGGGTACTGAAGGGTGTTAAAATATCCATATCTACGGATATGAACGTAGATAACGAATTTATCCCCGGTCTTAGTCTAAATCTGGCGATTTTTAGAGAAATTCGACCACAAAGTTTAACGTGAAAGCAACGTTTTTTTCATTTTTTTGAATATCTTTTATTGAAATTTGGGAATTTGACATATTTTTAACGGGGTGTAGGGTACTACCTTTGGTAGAACCCTACATGTAGACAAATATAAGACGTTTTTAAACTAGAGACAGAGAAACTGAAATGGGTCGAATTTGGCGCGCAATGTTGTGAGAGTTACATCATAAATGGTGTGACGTCAACGTGGGTCATTTGCATAGCTAGGTCAGTAGTACCATTCATTGACAATGTGGCTGCATAGTGATAAAATCGTAAGGGAATTAAGTATTTAATTATACAGACATCATGGAAAATCTACAGAATTCGATATTTCATAAGGAATAACCATGGAACTAAGGAAAACGCTCGTGAAATTCCCCGATGTAATGGGTAGCAACGTCCGGGGATATGGGTTAGCAACACCCAGGGGCTATGGGTTTTGTAACGACGTGCGTTAACCAATCAAACTCCTAGAAATATACTAAGCCGGGGATAATATTTTTTAAAACAGCAGTCAAAACATACAAGAATGGAGTCCAATATAATTTGATAAAAGACAAGGCTGGAAAATGCTACCATTACTTCTTCTGTAATAAATGGAAGCTTTTAAGTTACTTCAAATTTCACATGAGGTTCATAAGAAAACCTTTAAAATCTTAATTAACATTTTTAGGAGAAACTTGAACTTGTAAGAAAATTATTTTAAGAATACAATTTTTTATATTAATCTGGATCTTTTTTTTCCCATAAAAATAAGAAATGCAATCGAATAATCAGCATTGAAAATTTAATGGTGATAAAATGTAACAATGACTTAAGAAATTTGAAAACATTTTTTTTTAAACAAATCTTGTACAATTTTTTTCACTGTTAAAAAGTGCATGTATATATATATATAAAAGTTTTGTTCTATTCTAGCCTCATGTAATTTTTATGATTTTTTTCTAAATGATATAGTTCTTGTATGTCCATGGACAAAAGTAATTGAAATTTAATTAATTACATTGGCAATGTAATTGTAATGTAATTAATTAATTTGAAAATCAATGTAATTGTGATGTAATTAATTACATTTAAAAAGCAATGTAATTAATTACTTTGGCATGTAATTGACCCCAGGTCTGTTTAAAAGGTACTCCTTTTGGAAATACATCATCATACTGCCAATAAATTCTTCCTTCACTAAAGCTGAAATTTTTCAAGGAGTTCTGTCAGCAGTTTGCACTATATTGAAGATGAAACAGAGACATTTTTTTTTATGCCCCCGCTGTAGCAGAGGTGGCATTAAGTTTACCCATTTTCCGTGTGTACGTCCCAAAATTGGTTTCCGTTCTCTAACTTTAGTATGCCTCATCCAAATGTTATGAAACTTATACACAATGCTTATTACCACAAAACTCAGATCAAGTACAAATTTGGGTAGTGTCATTTTTACCGTTCTTGAGTTATGTCCCTTTATAAGGTTATATGCAAGCAGGGGCGTCATCTGTGTCCCATGGACACATTCCCCATTTATTTAATTTATATAAACCTTTATCAATTCTTTTGAAAGAAATGTGTTTTCTAAAGCAAGCTTTGATATAACTTTGTCTGAAAATGTTTAAAGTTTTCCAAATTTTGGAATCCAAAACAGAGTTTGTCATAAGTAATTGTGCCATATGTCCCCATGAGTGCACACCTGCCAACTTTCAAAATTCAAAATCATGGGTATGTAAAAACACTTATGACATGTATAAGATATGCTTTAGATCCTCTTTAGCTTAATTTCCCGATTTTTAAACTGTTAAGATACATTTCTTCCCATTACATATTAAAAACTAAGAAAACTCAACAGTTCTTTGTTGTAATCAGATCAAACAAAAAAGAGGTTTTTATACGACCGCAAAAAATTTGCGTTCGTATATTGCTATCATGCCGTCGTCATGGTCGGCGGCATCTGAAGACATATTTGGTTTCCGAACAATAACTTGAGTTTAAGTGAATGGATCTCTATGAAATTTAACCAGAAGGTTCAATACCACAAAAGGAAGGTTGAGATTGATTTTGGGGGTTATGGTACCAACAGTTTAGGAGTTAGGGGCCAAAAACAAGCTTTTTTGTAGTTTCCCGACAATAACTTGTGTTTAAGTAGATATAAGAAGATTTGGTATGAGTGCCAATGAGACAACTCTCCATCCAAGTCAAAATTTATAAAAGTAAACCATTATAGGTCAAAGTATGGTGTTCAACACGGAGCCTTGGCTCACACCGAACAGCAAGCTATAAAGGGCCCCAAAAATTACTAGTGTAAAACCATTCAAACAGGAAAACCAACAGTCTAATCTATATAAAAAACGAGAAACGAGAAACACTTATGAATCACATCAACAAACGACAAAAACATCAGATTCCTGACTTAGGACAGGTTCAAACAATTGCAGCGGGTTTAAACGTTTTAATGGTACCAAACCAAAAAAGTGTATGGATCTCTCTGAAATTGTACTACAAGGTTCCATACCACAAAGGGAAGGCTGGGATTGAGTTTGGGGGTAATTACCCCAAAAATTTAGAAATTAGGGGCAAAAAGGGGCCAAAAACAGGCATTTTTCTAGTTTCCAGACAATAACTTGTTAAAGTTTATGGAACTCTCTGAAATTGTACATTTTTCCTGAAAAGAAAATAATCTTCAAAATTTCAAAAAAAATTTGGGGGGGTGGTTTTCGAAAAGTTGGGGGGGGGGGGGGGGGGATTTTTTTTCAAATTTTTTTTCTTCAAAATTTTTTTGCACAAAATTTTTTTTGCGGGGATTAAATGTTTTTGCAATTTTTTTTTTTTTTGGAGGGGGGGGGGGGATTTTTTTCAACTTTTTTTGGAGGAGGTTAATTTTTTTTTCTTCAAGATTTACAAAAAAAAATTTTTTTCAAAATTTTTTGTTTTTTTTCCCAAAATTTTTCCATTTTTACATAGATTATTTCTGATTTATATATAAAATCAACAAATACTGATATGGCAGGAGATACACACCATATAGGGTGTGTATATTATTATTTATTATACTTCACTTAAAAATGCAATATTTTGATTGGCTTATACGAGGGTATTAATTTACTCTATTCTATGGTAAATATTCTATTACCCTTCACAGAGACGCTTGATCAAGTGTGCACTTTATTAAATACCACTCTATCCTATGGCAAATACTCTATTACCCTTCATGGAGATGCTTGATCAAGTGTGCACTTTATCAAATACGGATGGTTGTTATGTACAAGACGTCATAGTTTGTTACTTTGAATTTGAAATTTAATCGACAGTAATAACTGAACATTCAGTATAATAAATTAAATAACACATATCTGAGGGGGTGATAGAGCAGATTGTTACCCCTGGAAAAGACATTGTCAACCTTGGCTTCGCCTCAGTTGACAATGTTTTCTCTGGGTAACAATCTGCTCTATCACCCTCTCAGCTATGTGTTATTTATATAATATAACAGATTAACTAAGTATTGTGCAATAGCAAGAAATCTTCAATTGAAAATAAATACAAATCTTTTAACCAATTTCTATGGGATTAATTTAAAATCTTTTAATTTTTGGGGGTTCTAACCTTCTATTACTATTTTGGATATTGGGCCCCATTTTTAAATCGGTCTACATTGACAGTAATTGACAGTTACTAGTCCTTGACCCGTACACTAGTACTATTAGATGCAGTACAAAAGTAACCAAAAAGTTTATCTGATAAAGAATATACATTTTTGGACGATTTTTACACCATATGATAAATCTTTTCATTGTTCTCTGTTGTTACTTCTTCTATCGATATACTTTCAGCTTCAGAAGAAAGAATATGAAGATATTGTTATCTTGATCATTCAGTATGTGCCATATCTAACGATCACCATATTAAATTTGGGTGTACCTATCATCTTTCAAAAACTGGTACAGTTTGAAATGTATAAATACGAAACTGAACTGAAATTAACATTAGCAAGGTGAGTAATCAGAATATCATTTTATTTGTTTTTAAATTTTATATATGGTCAGTGGTCAGATAGATTTATACTAGAGTATAAAATGGTGGTATCAAATTTTCATCTGACTGTGATTAAGTGGAAAAAATAAAATTGTCAAAAATTTAGAAAACAGAAGTTCAAATCTCATCAATTGATTAAGAAGAAACAAATCTCGTTTGAAACATTATATTTTATCTTACAGATCAGTTTTACTCCGCTTATCTTCTTTTGAAACATTATATTTTATCTTACAGATCAGTTTTGCTCCGTCTATCTTCACCAATAGTTCTCCTAGCTATTCTGTATGAGCAACTGATTGTCACATCAAAGGACTCAACCAGTGGCAAATGTGGCAATGTGAGGTGGTCAGCCACAGGGTCAGGACTCAGGGGAGATGTCAAAGTAAGTTTTTCTTTCAAGGGAGATACTGTAAAAGCAGAAATTATTGCATGCATTTATTATTGTGATTTTTGAAGAATGAACAAAAATGCCAATTCAATTATTGCAATTTTAAGAAAATATACATACGGATATATATTCAAGATGTCATAATGTGAGTTCTTATTATTGTGATACTCAAGGAGTCGCATTATTCACATTAATGAAAAGCTCGCAATAACTTCTAAACTTACAGTAAAGAAGTGGGAAATATTACAATTATAGATGGTAGATGGTCAGCCGCAGGGTCAGGACTCAGGGGAGATGTCAAAGTAAGTTTTATTGCAGGGGAGATAACACAGTGCAAATGTGGCAATGATAGATATCAACCACAAGGTCAGTACTCAGGGGAGATGTTAAAGTAAGTTTCATTGCAGGGTAGATAACACTGTAAAATGTGGCAATGATAGAGGATCAGCCACAGGGTCAGGACTCGGGGGAGATGTTAAAGTAAGTTTTCTCTCGGGGGAGATAACACAGTGGAAAAGGTGGCAGTGATAGATGATCAGCCACAGGGTCAGGACTCAGGGGAGATGTCAAAGTAAGTTTCGTTGCAGGGGAGATAACACTGGAAAATGTGGCAGTGATAGATGATCAGCCACAGGATCAGGACTCAGGGGAGATGTCAAAGTAAGTTTCGTTGCAGGGGAGATAACACAGTGGAAAATTTGGCAATGATAGATGATCAGCCACAGGGTCAGGACTCAGGGGAAATGTTAAAGTAAGTTTCATTGCAGGGGAGATAACACTGTAAAATGTGGCAATGATAGACGATCAGCCACAGGATCAGGACTCAGGGGAGATGTTAAAGTAAGTTTTCTCTCAGGGGAGATAACACAGTGGAAAATGTGGCAGTGATAGATGATCAGCTACAGGGTCAGGACACAAGGGAGATATCAAAGTAAGTTTCCATCTAGGGAAGACAATGCAGTGGTAAAAATGACATGAATAGTAATAATTGCCATATTGATAGGCATTAATCATCCACTGGGTCAGGATTTCCAAGTGTCACATGAAGCATGAAGGGATATTACAACAGTTGTAAATTTGACAATTATAGACTCTGATGTTTGAGAGCATAAACAATCAAAACAGCCAAAACCATCTAGGGTCAAACTATGGTATATTACAGTGATAGGGAAAATATGTGGATGTTCTTTTAATAAAAAAATAACTGATTTACAAAAATAATTTATTAGTTGTGAAATATATATATCATTAATTTGCTACATTAATAAGTAATGGAATAAAAGTAAATATAAGACATCTTGTTACTTATCAATGGACAAACAAATCAACTTTACTTTAATGAGATAATTCTAATATTACATATTCAAGGTTGAAATGACATGAATAACAAAAGCTGTACAGAAACAGACAAATATTCATCTTTTATTTTTAGTGTTGGGAGACATATGTGGGACAACAGGTGTACAAGTTGGTCCTATTGGATCTGTTTGTAGAATGTGGAATTCTATTCTTTGGAAATGTTCCGAGAAGGTCAGATATATTTTAAGATAGATTTGTCATGAATCATCTTAGATTTAGAACAAAAAACAGCATCAGATTGTTTGGTTTGCTCTGTTTATAAGTCTGTAATTTAGTAGTTGATATTTTTCCTGTTTGAAAAGAATCAGCACTTTTGATTTTTAGAAAGTATTGTAAACATCTGAAAATTTTCATTTCTGCAGAAATAAAGGTACTTAAAATAAAAGAAGAATGTGTTTGAGGATACGAATGACCCCGCTCAAGCTTCTTTGTTTGGTTCTTAGCATAGTGTATGAGTTTCATAAAATTTGCTTGAGGAAGAAACGCAATTTGCAATTTTCCAAGTTATAAAGGGGCATAACTCTAGAACAGTAAGTGACTCACTACCCAAATTGGACCTCTGTCTGCTAGTTTGGTTCTTAGCATCGTGTATGAGTGTATGAGTTTTATATAATTTGCATGAGGAAAACTTTAGTAAGGGTGCAGAAAAGAAAAAAAATTGCAATTTTCCAAGTTATAAAGGGACATAACTCCAGAACGATATATGACTCACTGCCCAATTTCAAAATCTGTTCACCACTTTTGGTTCTTAGCATTGTGTAATTTGGATAAAGAAAACTTAAGTTAGAGTGTGGAAACAAAAATGGAACAAATGGAAAGACAGACGGAAGGACAAGGGTAACACTTAATGCCCTCTTCAACTAGCGGAGGCATAAAAATTCATTAACAATACCAGGCTTATAATTTTGTATGCCAGATGCATGTTTTGTCTACAAAAGAATCATCAGTGACGCTCAAATCAAAAAGGTTGAAAAGGCCAAATAAAGATCTGTATCATATATAAGCATGGTTTAGATTTTTTTTTTATGCCCTTGTCGTAGGCAAAGGGGACGTTTAGTGTTACCCTTGACCGTCCTTCCGTCCATCTCAATTTCATTTCCACACTCTAAAGTTTGCCTCATACAAATATATGAAACTCATACACACTGCTAAGAACCACAACACACAAACAAGAGTTTGAATTTGGTCAGTGGGTCATTAACTGTTATAGAGTGATGCCCCTTTTTAACTTGGAAAATTGCAAAGCTTAAGCGGGGGCATTTGTGTCCTCATACACATTCTTCTTTTATCTTATTCATTTCACTTGTACATCATACATTTTATACTTTAACTGAATGGTTATTCACTTCATAGCAATTTCATGGAGGCACTTGCACTGATTTAAGATTCCAAGGATTAAAGTTGAAAAAAATTATGTTTCTGGATTCTGTAGTCCTATTAACTTTTAACATTTTTTAAATATTTTAAATATCAATTTCTCTCTTTCAGTATATTGTATCGAAAATTCAAGGACAAGTCAAAAGTGATCAAGACGATTGGTCCTCAAGAATTTGATTTGACTCAGAGTGTTGTAGATATTGTTTACTCACAAAATATATGTTGGTGAGTAACTATTTTGCCTTTTTATACATAATTTTTTTAATTTATTTTCTTTGTACAATCCATTGATATTAAGATACAATTAAATTAATGACTAGATTATCAGTTCTCTGTGAGTAATTTATCTTGCAACATATTGCAAATTATTTGAAATACGAATATTCAAGTATTCAAATGACCTTACAAGTTGAAATTAAACAAGTTATTTTTACTTTACTCATGTTTGTAATATATAATATATTTTCTTTTACAGGTTGGGAATGATGTTTAGTCCTTTAATTCCGTTTATGACATTTCTTAAAATCTTAATCTTCTTTTATTCTAAAAAAGTAAGTATAGGTACATATGTATAATATATTATATCATTGTGGTAGCTTATTATACTTCTTATTATGGTTGAAAGCTAAAGACTATGAAATATATACCTGTTTAAAATATCATATGATAGAAAACAAAGGATATGGGGTATCCATCCATGACACAAAATCAGTACATGCACAGCAAAAAACACAAAAAACAAAGGAACAATGCTTTTATTGCTGTTCTTCATCTCAAATATTATATGATACCAATATTATTATCTTTTTAAATTTCTACATTTCAAGAGTTTAGTTTTTATGCCCCACCTAGGGGCGTTATGTTTTTCAGTCTGTGCATCTGTTCGTCTGTCTGTCCGTCGTCCGTTCGTCCATCTGTCCAGCTTCAGGTTAAAGTTTTTGGTCAAGGTAGTTTTTGATGAAGTCCAATCAACTTGAAACTTAGTACACATGTTCCCTATGATATGATCTTTCTAATTATAATGCCAAATTAGAGTTTTGACCCCAATTTCACGGTCCACTGAACATAAAAAATGATTTTGCAAGTGGGGCATCCATGTACTACGGACACATTCTTGTTTTTTATCAGTTGCAACAGATAAATGTGCTTATGAGAGGATTTTGTTTGATGCTTGATAACTTCGTGAAACCCTTGTATAGACCAGATGGATAAATCTTATATCTGATAGGATGTGAAAATATTCTGTACAGACGATCATATAATAGTGTCATTTTGTTTCATTAATTTAATCAAAGTAAGAAGTTTTGTTCACCTTGTTTTTATATGGGGTCTTTTTATCTTTTGTTTTCTTTTGGAGCTGGTATTGTCTGGTTTCTTTTTACTTATGATTTTAATTATCCCCTTGTGATATTAATTATTCCATTTGTATTCTCTTTCTTTTTATTGGCTTAAGTTTTGTGACCAAAAACTTGTACATATTAATCTGTATACATACTATGAATACTGATTTTACTTAAATTTTTCCATATATTTCAGTTTTTATTGAAGTATTGTGAAGCTCAAGAGCGTCCTTATCGTACATCCAGATCTAATTCATTATTCATGTTAGTGCTATTATTGTCCTTCGTGTTTGCTGCAGCACCTATAGGGTATATGGTTGGCCGGTAAGTTTTAATTATATACATAAATATACTAGCTAAGACTTAAATGATTAAAATTTTGAATGCATATATCTTTGTGGTTATGAAATAACTGCCAGGGCACTGTTGTCATGGACTTTAACCTCTTCTGTGGACACCTTAAGGGAGGTGGTAGAGAAGATTTCTACACTGAGTAAATCATATTTCTTTAGTAAATTACTGAAAATGTTAGTCTAATAAATTAACTGTTAAAAAAATTACTAAGAAACTAATGGACCAACTCCCTCAGGCAAAGTAGACCTAAAATTAATAGCTATCCAAACATTTCTATGTATTTATACTTCCCTGACTTTCAAATGTTTGGGTAAGAGCATCCATGATGAAGGTAAATCCTGAAAAAGGCAACAAAATTTGTTGAAGATACAATGTAGTATGTTAAGTGTTATTTTCATTTTCAATGGGGAGAAGGTTTTGATATTTATAGATTATCGTTGATCATCTCAACGAGATTGATTTTCTCGCTTGAGTCGGTACGTCGAAAGTGAGAAAAGCAATCCAGTTGAGATGACCAATGATAATCTGTTTATCGCTATTTTACCTATGATGACGTGTAAATTTCATTAGCAAGGGCACGTGCCCCCTTAGTTTCTAGTGATAATTTCATATCACTTGACTCTGCTGAGAAATGAAATTATCAGTCAATAAGATCAAAGGAAATTTTCGTAAAATAGCAATAATATTTCTTATATACTTCATCTTCAATTCCATTAACAATCCTTATAATGAAGTAGGTTTGGTATCAACCCTGTTAGGCCCACAATATTATGTCCATTTTTTCGAAAAGAAAAGTGATTCAAGTTGATGCATAAACATGGGAGAAAGTGAAATAGAACTTTAATGATCTAGCTTATAAAGGAATACTGTTTGGCAAAATCTTAAACCTTAATTTTCAGACTAATTAGATATAAGAAGATGTGGTATGAGTGCCAATGAGACAACTCTCCATCCAAGTCAAAATTTATTAAAGTAAACCATTATACCGGGTAAGTACATTACAAATTAATAAAAAAAAAAATTATTTTGTTGCGTTTGAAAATTCATGGTCTTTGATTGCCACAAATAAAATACTTTAACAAAAATTCTGTGTAACAATTTATAAGTTTGTGATTAGGTCTAGTTTATGGTGAACCACTAGTGGTAGGTCAATGATATTTGGTATGCAGTTGTATTAGCATTGGTACATCTCATTTCCATGGAGATTATTTAGCCCTTCCCCTCAGTCATGATCTATTGACTTTGAAACTTTTGCTTAGTTTACATGTATTTGTTTGGGATTAGGTCAGTTTATGGGGAACCACTAGTGGTAGGTCAATGACATTTGGTAAGTAGTTGTATAAGCATCGGCATATCTCATTTCCAAGGAGATTATTTGACTCCGCCCCTCAGTCATGGTCTATTAACTTTGAAAATTTTGCTTAGTTTACATGTATTAGTTTGTGATTAGGTCAGTTCAAGGAGAAAATAAGTGGTAGGCCAATGTTAATTGGTATGCAGTTGTATAAACATAAGCACATATCATTTCATGGAGAATATTTGGCCCCACCCCCTCAGTCATGGTCTATTGACTTTGAAACTTTTGCTTAATTTACAGTTTGTGATTAGATCAGTTTAAGATGAACCACTAATGTTAAGTCAATGATATTTGGTATGCAAATGTATTGGCATTTGCAAGTCTCGCTTCCATGGAGATTATATAGCCCCACCCCCTCATCATGGTTCATTGACTTTGAAACTTTTACATCGTTTACAAGTTAATGTTTGTGTTTAGGTTTGTTTAAAGGAAACGACTTATGATAAGTCAATGGTATTTGGTATGCAGTTGTATTAGCATTGGCACATCTCATTTCCATGGAGATTGTTTAGGCATGTACCTTCAGTCATGGTTCATTGACTTTGAATATTTGCATAACTTACATGTTAAAGTATTGCTATTTTTCAACATTTGCATTATCAAAATTACAAAAAGGCGAGACATATCTTTGTGTTAACAGTTTATTATACAAATACTTTTAATCCCTACATTTTCTCCAGCCGAGCCAGAGTTATGGTCCCTTTAGACTTTATGCTGACGCCAATGTTGCTATGATTTATACAGTTTCTAATTTATTTCTAACATAGTCTGTAGCCAAGCCAGGGAAGTGTTCCCTTTAGATGTTATGCTGATGTCAATGTTGTTATGTTTGATACAGTATCTAATTTATTCCCTATACAGTATCCAGCCAAGCCAGAGTGGTGGCCACTTTAGACTATGCTGATGCCAATGTTATTTTGTTTGATACAGTATCTTATTTATTCCATTCACAGTCTGCAGCCAAGCCAGAGTTGTGGTCCCTTCAGGCTGTATTCTGATGCCAATGTTGTTATGTTTAATACAGTATCATATACAGTAGCTAGTTGGCCAGAATTTTTGAGAGGTTTATTCAGTTTTCTTGGAACTGTTGGATTTTTTGTGCCAGTCATTATAGCTTTGTGGTAAGTTAGTATAGAGATTACTACTAAGTAATACATATCATGGATTATACATGATATTTTATGATAAAATTGATGCAATGAATGACTTGTAATTTACTTTTAAACGAGGTCAAAACATTTTAATGTACTGTTATATATTAATGACAAGTTTAAATTTTCAAGTCATGACTGAAATAAATGATGATGTATTTGCTGTAAGTTTCTGATCAACACTGAAGTACATGTATGAGGGTCTGGATGGGGTTTACAGAATAGAGAATAATGGGCCAAATCTACCAAAAAATAGAGAGAAAAAAAAATATAGAATAGAGAATATTGGGCTAAATCTACCGAAAAATAGAGAGAAAACAAATTATAGAATAGAGAATAATGGGCCAAATCTACCAAAAAATAGAGAGAAAAAAAATATAGAATAGAGAAAAATAGGGCAAAAAATATAGAATAGAGAATATTGCCAAAAAACTAAAAAGAATAGAGAAAAATGAAAAATGACCTGAAAAATTATAAAACAATAAAGAAATGAAGACCTGCCATCCAGACCCTCGTGTATTTCTCCTTGATTGATGGATATAGATTATACCACACCACCCTGTTGCTACAAATATTTTTCCACTCAAGATTGCTAAATTTTTAAACTTTATTATGTGAGGTTTACCAAGTATTTAAAAATTTTAATATCAAGCTATTGAGAGTTAGTAATGATTGTAGTCAATGTGGTTGAGTGTTAGAATCTGTTTCTCTATTGGATAAGGAAAAGGTACAGTGCAATGTTCTGAATGAATAGGAATATGGTTTGAAATTACATAAAACAAATTTAATCAATGTGTGGTTTATGAAAATTAATCAAACTGGTCAGAGCCAGTTTAAATGCATGCATAATTAGAGAAATGTTAATCTCTGTACAAATAAGATGAAATTATTACACAGCTTACCATATCATTTTTATACGCCCGTTTACGGGACGTATTATGGTATACCCTTGTCCGTCTGTCCGTCTGTCGTCAACATGTAGGACAATAACTCAAATGCTTTAACCAATCTGCATGAAACTTTGGTGAATTGTTTATATCTATTGACGTGAGCTCCCTTTTGTTTTTTATAAATTTTAGATTTTAAGTTTCCGAGTTATGGGGTTTTATTCATTAAAAAAAGGGGGATTTTCCAGTTTTCGGATAATAACTCAAAAACACTTTCACCAATTTGCACGAAACTTTATTGAATTGTTTATATCTATTGACATGAGCTCCCTTTTGATTTTTATTAGTCCCCTAGTTAATTTTAGATTTTATGTTTCCGAGTTATGGGGTTTTATTCATTAAAAAAAGGGGGATTTTCCAGTTTTCGGACAACAACTCAAAAATGCTTTCAGCAGTTTTCATGAAAATTTGGTGAATTGTTTATATCTATTGACATAAGCTCCCTTTTGATTTTTATAAATTTTAGATTTTAGGTTTCCGAGTTATGGAATTTTATTTATAAAAAGGGGGTGATTTTCCAGTTTTCGAGTGCTTTGAGCAGTTTTCATGAAACTTTGTTGACTGGTTTATATCTATTAAGCTAACCTCCCTTTAGTTTTTCATAAATTTCTGAAATGACATTGAGAAGTTATTGAACTTTATTCTTTAAAAAAGCGACGGGCGTATCATGCGCTCATGGCGCAGCTGTTTATTATTTGTAGCTTTGGCAGTAAATTATATTTTTAGTAGGGTAATGAATTGTCACTTTCTTTTACAGTTTATTGATGTACTACTACTGGTTGTTAGGTCAAGGTTACAAAAAGACGGAAAAAATTCTCCAACATCAACTAAAATTGGTAAGATATAATAGATTATATTGTTGGTACACTGCAGGTATGATATTATTTGTATGACATACCAAAGTTTTTAAAGAAGTTTTTTGGGATATTGTCTACTTTAAACTTAAATACTCTGTGTCTTAGAATAAATACATGTATGTTTATTATGATAATAATGATAAATTATTTACAGTTAATAGTAATACTACAAGATATTTATTAATAGTTAATTTACAATCATATATAGTTCAATGTATCATTCTGATATTTTGTTCTTCAAAGGCTTTGATAGTAACACACCCGTGGTAAAATACAAATATATTGTATGTTAGCTGATCCGCAACATCATGATTTGTTTGAGCTGTCATACTCCCATGTTGTATTTTTTTTATGAATGAGTTACCCAAGGTCAATTAGTGCAAATGACGTCATTGAAGGATCTATTCTAACTGATAGTTTGAATACAAACATTGTACAGGAAACTCATGAATGTGAAAGTCATATTATAAAAACATGGAAATAAAATAATGAAACAAATTTGGTTGAAAGCCCATTTTTGTCTCGCCTTGACAGAGTCAAAAAGCAAGACAGGTATGCTGTTTCCGGCGTGGGCGGCGGCGGCGTCAACAATGTATTAGTTTGTGATTAGGTCTAGTTCATGGTGAACCACTAGTGGTAGGTCAATGATATTTGGTATGCAGTTGTATTAGCATTGGCAAATCTCATTACCATGGAGATTATTTGGCCACACCCCCTCAGTCAAGGTCTATTGACTTTGAAACTTTTCATAGTTTACATGTATTAGTTTGTGATTAGGTCAATTTATGGGGAACTACTAGTGGTAGGTCAATGATATTTGGTATGCAGTTGTATAAGCATTGGTATATCTCATTTCCATTGAGATTATTTGGCTCTGCCCCCTTAGTCATGGTCTATAGACTTTGAAAATTTTGCTAAGTTAACATGTATAAGTTTGTGATTAGGTCAGTTCAAGGGGAACCATTAGTGGTAGGCCAATGTTAATTGGTGTTCAGTTGTATAAGCATTAGCACATCTCATTTCCATGGAGAATATTTGGCCCCACCCCCTCAGTCATGGTCTATTTACTTTGAAACTTTTGCTTAGTTTACATGTATTAGTTTGTGATTAGATCAGTTTAAGATGAACTGCTAATGTTAAGTCAATGATATTTGGTATGCAAATTTATTGGCATTTGCAAGTATCGTTTCCAAGGAGATTATATAGCCCCACCCCTGATCATGGTTCATTGACTTTGAAACTTTTACATAGTTTACAAGTTAATGTTTGTGTTTAGGTTTGTTTAAAGGGAACGACTTATAATAAGTCAATGGTATTTGGTATGCAGTTGTATTAGCATTGGCACATCTCATTTCCATGGAGATTGTTTAGGCATGTACCTTCAGTCATGGTTTATTGACTTTGAATATTTGCATAACTTACATGTTAAAGTATTGCTATTTTAATTTCAACATTTGCATTATCAAAATTACAAAAAGGCGAGACATATCTCTGTGATAACAGTTTATCTTAAAAAGAGATTAAATTTGTTCAGTAGTTATCAAGTAAGTAATTATACAAATGAAATTGATATAGGTCTAAAATATTTATTTGTGGTTTGCATACACAAATACCTCTTGGAAGTGATACACATCCAACGTGCTTTTGCATTGGACAGTGACAGAATTTTTATGTAACAAAGATGAGTTTCTTCTTTTCCAACAGAAACATGCACACTTATTACATTTTCATAATCATTTGATTTCATCCTAATCTGTCTAAGTATGTGAAGCATAACATTTATTCAGTTTCTTTGTCTTTTACGCCAGTATGAATAGTGTGTTCAATTACGGGAACAGCAATAAACTCATTATAGATACCAGGATTTAAACTCTGTACTCTAGACGTGTGTGTTGTCTACAAAAGACTTATAAGTGACACTTGAATCAAAAAAGTTAAAAAGGCCAAATTAAGTATGAAGTTGAAATGCATTGAGGACCTACAATTTCAAAATATTTGCCTTCACATAGAGCACTTCAATTCAAAAGAATTGCTGTCTTTGTCCTATTACAATAGAAATAAATCATTGGGGCTTGAGTTTATTTTGATTTTACCAAAGCCCCTATGAATAATTTCTTGATTATAAGAGATAAAACAGTTTATAAAGAGCTACATTGTATTTCAATAGACCATAACGAGGGAGGCATCAATTTCGGAATAGTTTTATGTTTTAAAATTCATTTTATGTCTTTATTTATTTTTCTTTATTTTATATTTTCTAAACAGATTTTTGACTTTAAAAAATTGACAATAAATTGTATGTTTTTTATATTCATTTGACTTCATTTTATATTTTCTAGAGGATTGTCCTAATATTAGTAAAATAAAAATACAACATGTTTTACAGGAAGGAAAAGATAAGCAATATCTCATGGAGAGAGTTGCAGAATTCCTAGAGAGTACAGAAGTCAATCAGAATACACTGAATAATGCTGGTTTACAAAATGTTTCAGCAATAATAACAACATAATTAATAGTCTGGTGAATAACGATTGATTGTCAGCAACACGTAATAACATACTGCTATGTACAGAAATAGTTTGTTACAGAAAGGATTATTTAAAGGCATAAAATCTTGGAGTAAACCCATGGAATTCTTACGGAAATTTTAGTAAAGCCATGGAATTCTTAGGCAAATTGGAGTAAAGCCATGGAATTCTTAGGGAAATCTGAAAAGTCATGGACTTCTAAGGGAAATTTATAAAAAAAATAATTATTGTTATGAAATGAATTTCAGATGACAATAAAAAATCATATAGTAAGATTTGGGTAAAAACCAAAATATTGACCAATCAAAATAGCAAGAACTGTTCATGTATTATTGAAATCTCTTCTGACTCATTGCATTATATTTGTCTTGAAAAAAAAAATAGTATGAAAATTTTCAAACAATGCAATGAGTGGAAAAATGCCTTACCTTTGCATCATGTTTAAGTAATTTTAAAATTAAACAATAAAAAACATATCATTGAGGGTGGGTCAGTTTGGATTCCTTTTTTCATAGTTTTCAGCTTTTGAGAATACATTACCCTTTTCTTTTCATAGTTTTCAGCTTTTGAGAATACATTACCCTTTTCTTTTCATAGTTTTCAGCTTTTGAGAAGACATTACCCTTTTCTTTACATAGTTTTCAGCTTTTGAGAATACATTACCCTTTTGTTTTCAAAGGTTTTAGCTTTTGAGAATACAATACCCTTTTACTTTCTTGGTTTATTTTGTTCTCAGAAATGTTAAGCTTTTAACTAGTTGTTGTAAATGTATGGAAACAAAAGTTTTAATCAGAAAAGTAAGAAAATCATATACACTTGCATGTGAAATTGTAAATTGATAAACACTGAATAAGTGTTATATATATACGATTATATATAATATACTATATAAAATAGTGCTGAATAAACCCTTCCAAAAGTCCCATTTACCTCAAAACTTGATTTTTGATGAGGAGTAAACATTAAGTGGATGGTTGCATTTAAGTTTTGAAATTGCATGTGCAACTCAAAAGAGGCTTAAACTTAAAAATATTAAGAAACAGCTTGTATTTATGTGATAATGTAAAAAACATATTTTAATTTTATTGTGGTATAGAACATATACAATGAATCTCAAAAAATTGTTATTATTGTGATTGTTAACATTAATTTGTTGAAATGAACTTCAGGTTTAACCACACCTTATACAAAGGTTTTGAATTGAAAAGTTTAATTTTATCTGAATTGGTCTTTAAAAACTGAATAGAAAATTAGTGAGGTGTGTTCACTTTTTCTGACATACTTACAGTGGTTTTCAAAGTGGCAGTCAGGTACTTTGCCTCAGTACAATAAGTTGTGTTCAGTCTACTGTCTGAATGTTCAATAGCTAAACTCATTTACCTATGCAAAACATTCAATACTGAATAGTTTATATAAAATGTCAGAACATTATTACTGGATACACTGCAAGAGGTGTCTGAACAATATTAAATTACTGCAAGGAGAACATTTGATAGATATATGAACATATCACCAAGACTTAACATTTTTTCTCTTCAGACATTTCATATAATGTTAGGAACAAAATGGCCCTTTAAACTAGAATTGGTTTATAAAAGACACTGTCAATTTCAATTGTTTGGTCATCTTATATATTTTGAAGGTTTGATTTAAATAAAAGGTAACTTTTTACCTTCTCAAGATGGAGCCTCTTTTTTTAGAATGTATATCAATAACATACAGAGTTTTAGACAATCGCTTGAAACATTAATCCAAAGCCCAACAGACTGCCAGATGAAGTAATCACTTTGTTTTTTAAATGATTATATGAATTATACGAGTTTGTCATTTAATGTAGTTTGATTTACACTTATATTTATTATTAGTTTCATTACATTTTTGGGACCAAAATATTTGCGAATTTTAAAAACTGACAAATATGAACTTTGGCACACTTTCTTTAAAAAATCAGTCATTGTCAATCAGATTGCATAGTTAAGTAAACCTGGTCATCAATAGATAGTTTTCCAATTACCGGTACATATTTTACATAATTTGAGTTCGAGTTATTTTCCTTGGCCACCATTTGGAGGGCTAACTGGTTGACCTGAGACTACTATATCACAGTGTGTTATAAACAGGCTATTATTTGAACTTGGAATTATTTTTAATTATGGAATTTGCATAATTTCATGTGTTTGAAATTTTTGATAAATTCCATGTTTATTAAGTATTATTATGTTTTGAGCGGTGCATCACACTTTCCACACAATGTATTTTGTATAGATAGTGTTGTGCACGGCACAGTACATTCTATTGAAAATGTGCTATCTTCTTTGTCACCGCTCAAAACATAATAATACACAATAAACATGGAATTCATTAAAAATTTCAAGCACAAGAAATAATGCAAATTCCATAATTAAAAATAATTCCAAGTTCAAATAATAGCCTGTTTATAGTAGTCTCAGGGTTAAATAATTGAATTTAAGCATGTGATACAAGCAAGTCTAATAAAATATCCTTACTAGATCATAACTTTGAATTAAAAAATGCTTAAATAAATGAAAGGTCAGTATAACATGTTGTATTTGATTGGTTTAGTTGCCCTTTAACATAGTGGCAAAGGGAAATAACTCTACCTCCAATTACATCAATAGAAAACTGTCTTATAGAAAAAATCTTACAAATACTCAGAAATTGCTATGCAGCAAAACAATCATTCTGTGATATCAGTAAAACTGTTGCACAAAAGAGATTATATTTTCCTTGTCTTTTTTGGTATTGATGAATTTTCTGTGTTTTATTTATTGCAAATTTGTTTAAATTTACAAATATGCTTTGCAGAGGAACTTTACATGTAGTGTTTGACAAAACAGTGCAATTTAATTTGTAAACATATTTGCATATTAATTATCTATTTACTGGGTTATATAGATCTAAATACCGTGTTTCTACTAAGAATGATTGTTATGATTTTGTGTAATTATACATCTTGTTTTAAAGGGATGACATATATAGATAGATATACACTTAACACAAAAAATGATTTTAGAATTAACACTTCATGGTGCAAGCAGAATAAGATTTGGCTAGTTTTTTAATGCCTTTGAATATAATATTAGCTTGGCATCAAGCTAGTGATTCATGATGATTAATATTATATGCATAATAGAGATAATGAAATAAAGCAATTATTTTAGATAATGAAACACAAGAAGTAAAACTATTGCCTTTTTTTTTTTAAATTTGATCGATATCTTGTGTAGTTTTGTTATCATTGATGTCATTTTAATAATTGTGATAATGCATCGTTTTATTATATAGTGTTCACTGTAAGGTCAGATTAAAGTATATATTTACAAAGATTTTTATGCAATATACTGTATGATTAATAGAGCTTTTTATTATTAATGTAAAATTAAGAGTGTTTTTAACCAGTTTACCAAATAACTTTAAATGTACTCTGTCTTCCACAGTTCATTGTTAACATTGTTTTATAATCTTAACTATTAAAAATTAAATAACAATGATGTCTTATTCAATTTTTATATCTTTTATAATTTTCTCTTCTATGGTGAAATTGTTATTTAGAACTTAATATTGTTACGTCCTTGCAACAATCTATAGTCATTATGTTGAACTCATATTCTGCATACAGATATCACAATTTAGGGGCAGTAGAGCCTTTTCAGATAAAAAATGTAAGGTACTTTGTATTGATTTTTGATCAATGCTCAAAAGTATTTTGATTCATTCAGTGACCAATACTGTGGATACATTATTATTTGTAGGGTACCAATTTTCATGGAGTTTTTAAAAAAATGTATAGGTGAACCATATTTAAATGTTCAATAAAGTACAAATTTCTGAAACGGTTGTATGCAAAATTTGCCAAAACCACAATTATAAGTTCACGAAATACAAGTTTTCTTCTATCCACACAAATTGGTACCAACAAAAATAAATGAATTCATAGATATTGGGGAAATATAAAAGCTACATTTTTCTATTATCTGGCATATTTTTACTTACAACATTCTTATTGCTGACTTGGGTAGTATGGTATCTCTGAATTACTTACTGAAGAGTTGAGGAGTTTTGAATATGTCAAACTTCTCTTGTTAGAGATATTTATATGTTATGATTTCTGTAGGACTTTTGGTTAGAAGTCAATCAATTTTTAGTGCAATTAGGATATCTGATAAGTCATTCAATCTTTAGTCAAAGGTGAAAGTCGTAGTTACTATAAATAAACTGAAATTTCTGCACAAAAGGGGTTTCAGGATGCTTAATCAAATACTACATATGCAATTGCAATCTTACTTGGATATGTGGTCACATATAATGAGGGGAAAACCCTACTGATTTCCAGGTTACTATGTCTAAGGTCAAGGTCATAGTTATGAAAACGAGGCTACAATTTGTGCCAAATAGCATGAATAGTGGTTTCCTGATGCTAAATTTTGTACTTTATATATGTTTATAATACCTTATTTTGATATATGGTCACATATAATGAAAGGAAGATCCCTATTGATTTTCAAGTCACTGTCCAAGGTCAAGGTCATAGTTACTAAAATTATACTACAATTTGTGCCAAAAATGGTTTCCTGATGCTTAATCAAAGGTCAAAGTTTGTTACAAAAATTTGCTCAAAAAAGGTGATTTCAAGATGCTTAAACATGTAGAACATATGCTATTGCAACTTTACTTGGATATAAGGTAACAATTAATAAGAAAATCCTTGTTGATTTTTAAGTTACTTGGTAAAAAAAATTATTTGTTCAAGACAATACTACTGTCTAAAACCATAACAGAAAAGAATCATACTGAAAAGTAATCAGAAAAAAAAACTACAACATCAGGTATAAGCTTTCTACGTTTGTATTGGGAGCATGGAGTATGTGGGCTTGCCTACTAAAGGTTCTTGAATTCATACATCATTTAGTGAAATGAGGTCCTCTGGTCATAAGTCATCTTTTAGTGAAATGAAGACTTCTGGTTGTAAGTCATCCTGTAGTGAAATGAGGACTTCTGGACATTCGTCATACTGAAGTGAAATGAAAACTTCTGGTCATAAGTCATCTTGCTGTAAAATGAGGACCTCGATGTAAGTGATACATTCTTTTAAAAAGTTGAGTGAGAACCTCTAGTTATAATCATTCATTCTTCTGTTGAGTGAGAACCTCTGTTGGTAAGTCGTACATTCTTTAGTTGAGTGAAAACCTTGATATAAGTCATATTTTCTGAAGTTGAATGAGAACCTCTGTTGGTAAGTCGAACATTATTTAGTTGAGTGAGAACCTTGATGTAAGTCATACATTATTTAGTTGAGTGAGAACCTCTGTTGGTAAGTCATACATTACTTAGTTGAGTGAGAACTTCTGATGATAAGTCATGCATTCTTTAGTTGAGTGAAAACCTCTTTTGGTAAGTCAAACATTATTTAGTTGAGTGAGAACCTTGATGTAAGTCATATTTTCTGAAGTTGAATGAGAACCTCTGTTGGTAAGTCAAACATTATTTAGTTGAGTGAGAACTTCTGGTTGTAAGTCATACATCCTTTTGTTGAGTGAGAACTTCTGATGGTTTAGTCATACATTCTTTAGTTGAGTGAGTACGTTTGATGGTAAGTCATACAATCTTTAGTTGAGTGAGAACTTCTGATGGTAAGTCATACATTCTTTAGTTGAGTGAGAACTTCTGATGGCAAGTCATACATTCTTTAGTTGAGTGAGAACTTCTGATGGTTTAGTCATACATTCTTTAGTTGAGTGAGAACTTCTGATGGTAAGTCATACATTCTTTAGTTGAGTGAGAACTTCAGGTTGTAAGTCATACATTCTTTAGTTGAGTGAGAACTTCTGATGGCAAGTCATACATTCTTTAGTTGAGTGAGAACTTCTGATGTTAAGTCATACATTCTTTAGTTGAGTAAGAACTTCTGATGTTAAGTCATACATTCTTTAGTGGAGTGAGAACTTATGATGGTAAGTCATACAATCTTTAGTGGAGTGAGAACTTCTGATGGTAAGTCATACATTCTTTAGTTGAGTAAGAACTTCTGATGTTAAGTCATACATTCTTTAGTTGAGTGAGAACTTCTGATGGCAAGTCATACATTCTTTAGTTGAGTGAGAACTTCTGATGGTAAGTCATACATTCTTTAGTTGAGTGAGAACTCCTGGTGATAAGTCATACTTTCTTTAGTTGAGTGAGAACTTCTGGTTGTAAGTCATACATTCTTTAGTTGAGCGAGAACTTCTGAAGCATGGTCAGTCATAAATTCTTCGGTTGAATTATGACTCCTGATTGTAATTCATACAATCTTAAACGAAAGGGGACTTCATGACAAAGGTTATCCTGTAGTCAAATGAAAACTTCTGGTCGTTAGTTATCCTGTAGTGAAATAAAGATTTCTTATCGTAAGTTATCGTGTAGAGAAATGGGGAATCCTGGTCAGAAGTCATCATGTACTGAAATGAGAACCTCATGGTCAGAAGTTATCCTGAAATGAAATGAAGAATTTTGGGGGTAAGTCATCCTGCAGTGAAATAAAGACTTCTGGTCGTTTGTTATCCTGTAGTTAAAATAAAGACTTCTGGTCGTTTGTTATCCTGCAGTGAAACGAGGACTTCATGTGGTAAGTTATCCTGCGGTGAAATGACGACTTCTGGTCGTTAGTTATCCTGTAGTGAAATGAGGACTTCTGGTCATAACTCATTCTGTAGTGAAATGAGAACTTTAGGTCATTAGTCATCCTGTAATGAAATGAGGACTTGTGGTCGTAAGTCATTTGTAGTAAAATGAGGACTTCTGGACGTAAGTCATTTTGTAATGAAAGGAGGAATTCTACTCGGAAGTTATCTTGAAGTAAAATGAGGACTTCTGGTCGTAAGTCATTATATTGTGAAATGAGGACTTCTAGTCATAAGTCATTTTGTAGTAAAATGAGGAATTCTGGACGTAAGTTATTTTGTAGTGAAATGAGGAATTCTGGGTCGGAAGTTATCCTGAAGTAAAATGAGGACTTCTGGTCGTAAGTCATCATATTGTGAAATGAGGACTTCTGGTCGTTAGTTATCATATTGTGAAATGAGGACTTCTGGTCGTTAGTTATCCTGTAGTGAAATGAGGACTTCTGGTCGTAAGTCATCTTGTTGTGAAATGAGGACTTCTGGTCGGAAGTCATCATGTTGTGAAATGAGAAATTCTGGTCGTAAGTCATTTTGTAGTGAAATGAGGACTTCTGGTCGTAAGTCATCATATTGTGAAATGAGGACTTCTGGTCGGAAGTCATCATGTTGTGAAATGAGGACTTCTGGTAATAAGTCATTTTGTAGTGAAATG